AACAAAGGTGCAAAGGTTTTTGTACACCATATCCGGATTTCGACAAATAATGTCTCTTCAGTGATGTTAGGAATCAAAACGGTATTTGGGAAGCCCAAAAATTTACCTAACTTTAGGATAGACTCTTGAATTTTGAGGAGTCAAAATAGGATGAACAGACCATATAAACCCTAAGGCAAATATAATATATATATAAAATAAAAAAAGTTGACCAAAGTTATAGAAAATTGTAGAAATTAAAAAAATTAGTTTGCTACCCACGTCTACAATGATAAAATGTCATACAGTAAATTATTACAAGTATAAGTGCTGTTATTGTTTCAATGCTATTTTTTGTATTTAGATGAGTCTAATTTGTGAAAAATATGTTATGTAAATATTTCCCATGTGCTGTTTCCACATTTTATACCAACCCTAAGGACTGCTTAACATTTTTCAATGCATATCAAATGAATGAAAAAGTACTTAGAGACTCAAAGAATTGCATTTAATTTAGTAATCCACCCCTGCAAATTCTTACATGATTGAAAACTTGATGACTTCATTGAAGAGAATTGATAATGTCTAATGAAAATGATTATATTGTGTGTGTAATCTGATTAAAGTGTTAGAAAGAAGCTTGTAGAATTATCTGAATTCTTTCTATAAAGCCTGGTCATAATCAAATTAGAAGTAAATGGTTACTTTGTTTATGTCTGAATCATTATTATCACAAAAATAAAAACATATATTTCAATTCACACATACTTGAAAAACTATTTGGTAACTGATTAAAATGACATAAAACACGAATGGATTGATCTAGATATTAACCTATTATATTATTCATCTTCTTGATGGTTTACTGAATGACTGTTTTAAAAGTGTAAAATTGGGAAAATACTTGACTGATATTTACCATTATAGCAATGCTTTGAAGCACTAGTAAATGTAGCATCGTGCAAATGGATAATACAGTTGTCTGGTGTTTACTATAAAAGCATTGTCTGGTGTTTACTATAATATCATTGTTTGGTGTTTACTATAATAGCATTGTCTGGTGTTTACTGTAATAGCATTGTCTGGTGTTTACTATAATAGCATTATTTGGTGTTTACTATAATAGCATTGTCTGGTGTTTACTGTAATAGCATTGTCTGGTGTTTTCTATCATAGCATTGTCTGGTGTTTACTGTAATAGCATTGTCTGGTGTTTACTATAATAGCATTGTCTGGTGTTTACTATAATAGCATTGTTTGGTGTTTACAATAATAGCATTGTCTGGTGTTTACTGTAATAGCATTGTCTGGTGTTTTCTATAATAGTAATGTATGGTGTTTACTGTGATAGCATTGTCTGGTATTTACTATGATAGCATTGTCTGGTATTTACTATAATAGCATTGTCTGGTGTTTACTATAATAGCATTGTTTGGTGTTTTCTATAATAGCATTGTTTGGTGTTTACTATTATAGCATTATCTGGTGTTTACTGTAATAGCATTGTCTGGTGTTTTCTATAATAGCATTGTCTGGTGTTTACTGTAATAGCATTGTCTGGTGTTTTCTATAATAGCATTGTCTGGTGTTTACTGTAATAGCATTGTCTGGTGTTTTCTATAATAGCATTGTCTGGTGTTTACTGTAATATCATTGTCTGGTGTTTACTATGAAAGCATTGTCTGCTGTTTACTATAATAGCATTGTCTTGTATTTACTGTAATAGCATTGTCTGGTGTTTACTGTAATAGCATTGTCTGGTGTTTACTGTAATATCATTGTCTGGTGTTTACTATAATAGCATTATCTGGTGTTTACTGTTATAGCATTGTCTGGTGTTTACTATGATAGCATTGTCTAGTGTTTACTATAATAGCATTGTCTGGTGTTTACTGTAATAGCATTGTCTGGTGTTTACTGTAATAGCTTTAATTGTCTGGTGTTAATGTAATATTATTGTCTGGTGTTAATGTAATAGCATTGTCTGGTGTTTACTGTTATAGCATTGTCTGGTGTTTACTATAATAACATTGTCTGGTGTTTACTGTTATAGCATTGTCTGGTGTTTACTGTAATAGCATTGTTTGGTGTTTACTGTAATAGCATTGTCTGGTGTTTACTATAATAGCATTGTCTGGTGTTTACTATAATAGCATTGTCTGGTGTTTACTGTAATAGCATTGTCTGGTGTTTACTGTTATAGCATTGTCTGGTATTTACTATAATAGCATTGTTTGGTTGCACTAAATTTAGCTGTTTGAATTATTTAATTTTGTTACACAATTTTGACTGCTGGATCCTGAATATTATCAGATTAACCAATTATGTCTGTTTAGGTTGCTCCCAATATTTTGTCCACCAGAGTTCAAATGAGTTAATGTAAGGCCTTCAACAGCGTGCAAAATCCATACTGTATCATTAAGTCACCTATTATGTCCTATAATGTCTGCTTATGGTAAACTTTTGTTGATGGGTTGCTAACCCATTGACATTTACTGCCAGTCATTTAACCATATGAAATATTTGCTATTTCACCAAACTAGCTATAATCATACAATTTGAATTAGAGTATCTGAACAATTTGAAAGGAACTTGGCTCATGCAGTTAAAGTAAAGAGGATTTCTTTTTTGTTGTGCAACCTATACACTAAAAGGCAGTTGGGTAAAAATTGATTTTTTAAAAACAGTTTTCAAAAAATTAAAATTCACTTCATTCCTTAAACAAATCATTTTACAATTAATTTTAAGAAAGAGAAATAAATGAAATATTACTTCTGTACTGATTAAATAATTTCATAGATGATTTACTTTATATCTGATTCACCCCATTTTTTTTTAAATAATATAGAAAATATATATATCCTCATACTTTAGACAATTAAGCTACCAAAGTGCCATTGCTAAACTTTTGAATGCATCTGTAACATTTTTATTTTCAAAAGTTAATTTCTTTAAAGAAGAATTTGATACTAATAATTGCATTAGATTTAACTTTTGCATTAAATTTAACATTGCTTAAATATATGAAAATGTGGTATGATTGCCACTGAGACAACTATCCACCAAAGTTCAAATGAAGTGGATGTAAGTAATAGACCACTTTTAAGTTAGATGCATTTCCGTCTAAAACTTTGGTTTTAGTGAACATCATTCATGCGTTTAGGGGCACCATCACTTCCTTCACATGTTGAGCGAGGGGTTGTAAAAATATGATGCTATACTGCACGAATTATTCGGCAAATTAAATTCTTATAATTGATAATCAACACTGCTGTCATTAGGGAATTGGGTTTAAGTACCTACGGAACAAACATAATTTCTAGTTTATCCTGCATAATAACAATCACGAAGACGCTTGATGAACTTCAATAGTGCAGGGATACAGGCGATCCCCTCTATCTGGTAAATGACGTCATAAAGGTGCGCATAATTGATGAACTTTTCCAGAGAAGGAATTACTCCAAAGTGGTTGCCTATAATAGAACATAATATGGCCTTCAACAATGAGAAAAACTCATACAATGTGAAATGATTTAGTTCTTACTGAGCCTAAATTCATAGTACATTGTGCAATGTATCAATTATTGGAATTTTGGTTATCAATGCATGTAAAATGTAAAAATGTATAAAACCACTAATTTGGGCCCGGTCAGAAAGGTCAATGAGGTGAAGGTAAGATGACACCTACCTGCCAATTGGACATGTACACCTTACAATCATTCAACATAACAAATATAGTAGACCTATTGCAGTATATCTAAAATTCTGACCAAATTGCAATTTGTTTTATCAAACCAAACTGTTCAACTGGTCAAAAATTTTAACAAACTGCTGTAGAAAAAGACAGTCAAGTGTTGAAAGTGCAAGGTGATAAAATAAAGCAGTTTGGTTTGCTAAAATAAATTGCAATTTGGTCATAATTTTAAATAAACTGCAATAAGTCCACTATATTTGTTGTGTTGAAAGATTGTAAGGTGGACATGTCAAATTGACAGGTAGGTGTCATCTTACCTTGACCTCATTGTCATAGTTCAGTGGTAAAAGTTATGTTTTTGTTTAGGTCTGTTTTTCAAACACTAATAGCATTGGTCAGCTATATTTAATGTATGGAATAATTGTAAGGTGTACATGTCTGCCTAGCAGGTTTCATCTGACCTTGACCTTATTTTCATGGCTCAGTGGTCAATGTTAAGTTTTTGTGTTTTGTTTTGTTTTTCAATTACCATAAGCAATAGGTCTACTATATTTGGTGAATGGAAGGATTGCATGTCCATCTAGTAGGTTTCGTCTGACATTGACCTTATTTTCATGGTTCATTGGACAATGTTAAGTTTTTTGTGGTTGTGTCTTTTTCTCAGATACTATAAGCAATAGGGCCTCTATATTTGGTGAATGGAAGGATTGTAAGGCGTACATGTCCATCTAGTAGGTTTCGTCTGACATTGACCTTATTTTCATGGTTCATTTGACAATGTTTAGTTTTTGTGGTAAGGTCTATATCTCAGATATTCTAAGCAATAGGTCAATTATATTTGGTATATGGGAAGATAGTAAGGTGTACATGTCTGTCTGGCAGGGTTCATATGACCTTGACCTCATTTTCATGGATAAGTTTTCATAATTTTGTCAGTTTATCAGATACTATAAGCAATTGGTCAACTATATTCATGGTTCATTGTTAAGATTTTGTGGTTTGATTTGTTTCTCAGGTACTATTAGCAAGAGGACCACTATAGTTGGTGTATGGAATGATTCTCAGGTGTACATGTCTGTCTGGCATGGTTCATCTGACTGTGACCTCATTTTCATAGAACATTGATAATGTTAAGTTAATGTGATACTTGTAAAACCTTTACAGACTTTCAACATAAATTCAATGATAAGTAAAACAGGCTTACGCCCATCTTTTGCATTCTTCAAAACTTTCCTGGATGTGTGGGAATTTTGTATTAAAGAATCAAGTAGTTAATAGTAACACCTTTCTTGTCTGTGTATTTTTATAATGATTTTTTACATTCCAGGATCAAAGATGTCATAACAGTATTGGCGAAACATCAGAAAGACAAGTTCCACAGGTAAAAACCAAAACACTTAAAGGGAAATAACTCATATTTTTCTATAGAAAAGAAAATTATTATTAAGTATTGATTAAAGTAAAACATTGTAAATTTATAATATATACTGATAGATAACTGTTACCAGACCAATTTTAGAAAAATAAAAATCTGAATGATGATACATAAACAAGTCAAATGAAAGCAACAAGACAGGTGTTTGGTCTTACAAGAATATACATATACTAATAATGAATACTTTTAATGAATGCTGTGGGTGGAGGGGTAAACAAATCCTGATTTGCATGCAACACCTGTATTTGATTTAATAATAATTGAATTGAAAATTACAGCAAATCAGGTCCAAGTTAGACATTAACCTTTTAAACAACTGACCCTTTAGGCTAGTTACCATGATATTTTACTTGCCTGAAAGAGGAAACAACTTGTCCAAATTTTTTATTTGCTTAAGAAATTTCTAAACTGGAGTTAATTATGGACACAAAATTAATTTTATCATATTCAGTTTTTCATTTCTCATAAATACCACTAAAAAGTTTCTAGTCTTTCGCACATACCTGTATGACATCATGTATGTCCTGTCAAACTTTAACATCAGACATATTAAAACTTTTAGTACGCTTCAGAATTTTAATAAAATTTGACAAAAATAAGATGTTTAGGTGAAAAGTGTGAGTGTTTTGAATATTAATTAAGAAATCACATATCTCCATTGCCATTGAGGACATGTATATAGTTTTGACCTGTAAAGATCTTCAATGACCTAACCAATAGCAAAATAAACGGCATTATATTGTTTTATGATACTGGATAAGCCAATAAAATTAACGCATTTTTTCTATCACTTTTTTGTATCTGTGCAAAGTGATACAAGACATATCTCTTCATCCAATAAATAGATTACAGGCCACAACTAAAGAATACATCTTTTCCCAGAGTTAAACCCAATAAAATTAAGGCAAAGACAGTATTTCTTCCCAGAAATGTCCTGGTATACAGGTTTTTGAATGAATGCTTAATCATATATCTTTGATAAATTTTATTACAGCAGGTTCCAGTTTCTATGGATGCCTGATGCTGAGACTGTTAATAGTATCATGTTGTCTTTCGCCACCGCTCCAGTTATGCTTATTCTTGACCCTGAAACACATTATTTTTACATGCCACCATTTAAATTGGAGGACATCACAACAGAAAATCTAGCTGCTTACTTGGAAAGTATCAAACACGGAAAAGAAGATGTAAGTAAAAGATAGAGGGCAGCTTTTTATGAAAGCTAATTATATGAGCATGCAAGTAATGTTAATTGAAGGCAGTTGTTTAAGAGCCATGTGTTTCTGCACAGTTTATTGAAAGTTCTATACATGATGTCATGTTATAGTAATGTTCACAAGGAGGCTGTAATATTTATTTATTCAATTGATCCTTTCCTTATCATAAGTGCATTCAGACTCGTTCATTCTACGTTTTATGTTCAGTCTGAGTGTGTGTTATAGTAGTCTCAGGTTCAGTTAAAGGAAAGATAAAAGAAAATGGTTTTTGGTCATCTGTTTTTTTTGTCTTTAGTGTGCACGAAATGTTGACAAATAAAATGGATCATCCCCTTTTAATCAATGCAATGCATATATAAAAATAAGCAGAATTGAATTATCTACACTACTAGAAACTGTTGTTTATGAGCAATAATTTCAATAAAACTACAAAATGACATAAAGATATGTTGTTTGTTTTTTTTTGGTTACAATTTACTTCCTAAATTAATTCTTTTATTTGGTGATTTTTATAATTTGTGCAAAAAATTGTAGAATTTGGTGTCCATATTTGACTCATTTTTACATTGTTTTGCTACTCAACTTCTGCAAAGCAGTAAAGATTTGACTAAAATCCCAACAACATATCAAAACAGCAACACACCATAACATACCTAAATGATTTTTTTTTAACCAAAAACCAACCAAAATGATAAAACAACTGTCAAAGGGGTCTCTTCGGGTATAAATAAACAGCTGAGACAATCTAAGGTTTGATAGGTTTTATTACCAGAGTTGAAAATAAACTCTGAAATAACAAAATTATAACATCAATAATAGTTCAATATAACATGGAATATCTTATGCATAAATTATATCACAGACAATTATAATTCAGTTTAAACAATTCACAATGCCATAGTGTTACTATAAACATTAGGTACACATTTACTATGGAATGTTCATTTGTGTATTGAAATGTACATCACATGTCATGTGTACTTTAATAAACTGGTTTCTGTGACTGATATTTAAATATAACGCTAATCAGTTTCATTGTGTTTACAACCAAATAGAATTAACTGTATCTTTAAAATAACTTCTTTCAAGTACATGAAAGTTTACAATTTAACTTTACTAATAATACTTTAATCAAAATAAAATAGATAATACATAAAAAGCAGAATTTTTTCACAACATTCAAAAAGTTATTTACTATATCGACATATCGACATATAAATTCTGTACCAGCTGATTTGCTAAAAATGCGCAAATCATCAAAGGAAATAATCCATGACTTTTACATTTATTTCTATTGTATAAAATAATACAAAACTACAAACTATGCGCTTACCACTTGTTAAGCGAGCTCTCTAGATAGTAAATAAGGAATTTGGCACAAAGTACAAACAAGTTATCTACATCAGAGTCCTGAAAACCAAAATACAATAATAATAACGGACTCTGGTAAATATTTTTAAAATACTAAACATCCGACAATTGTATGCAATTCCTTAATACAAAAATAGCATTACACAAATATGTAACTCGTATATTCTTTTCACACTATACTCTGACTTATCATAAATGCTGACATTTTTCTACATGCAGTATTTGTAAAATACTGGTTTTATGATATATGTAAACATTACATTATTATGCTATGTACAGTGGCAAATATGGCATTACTCTATAAAAATATGACTCATTCAAATTTTTCTTTTCGATGTTATAAACATGCAATCTGAAGAGTAATCATTAAAAAATCGGAAAGTTAACAAAATCTATTAATTCATGTCAAAATGTTAATAAAGAAGAATGTGCAACTTACGTTGTCAGTAAAGTAGTCGTGTCGTATAAGTATAAAACTGAATTTAGTATGTAAATATGGGTTTCTACACAACTGCTTACACAACAATGGAACTTACACAAGGTACTCAAACATTATTGGTCTACATTGACAAAATTGAGTCGCTGACAAAGGGAATAAAGCAGTTGAAGTTTCTGCTAAAAGTTCACTTACAATCTTTAACATTAGTAATGATTCATGTACTTATCAGCTGACAATGCGAATATAGAAAATAAACATCATAATCCAACTATCATACCAGAGATTGTGAAAGGTGACTACTTAATATAAAAATTAAGGAGTTGTGGTATGATTGATCATGATTGCCAAGTCTTAAGTCTGCATATTTCAGTTCCAAAAAAATCTCATTTTAAACTGAAATGAATGCAGCTTCCTCAAATTTTCTTACCATTTTATTTCAAGCTTGTTACAAACATTTGGTAACTATTGTTATCATGTAAGATTTGTAAATTGAAATTAAGCCATTTTTTGTACTTTCAGGCCTATGGTGGAACTGGTTTCTTTATGAGAGTTAAGAGATTGTTTTATGATTTACTTGTCATGGTAGTGGTTAGTATCTTAAAGTTTAAATATTTGACATCCATAAATCTGCTATTAAAAGATGCTTAAATTTGCATCAGCCATTCTCCACAATTTGGGGTTCCAGAAAGACAACATAGCTTTCATTTTAGATATTGAAACTTTTGATCTTACAGAGTTAAGGAACTTTGTTCATAAAAAAGTAAACATTTCAGCGTCATTGTTTGCAGTTGGTTTGTCCAGTTCTTAAAAACTTTTTACATTATTTAGATTTAATCAAGAGGACTGAAGCTTTGATCAATATTTTTCAAATTGGTATACACAACATTAACATTAAAGTTTCCCTTTTAATTTTTTGCCTCGCCTGTGACAGAGTGCCAGACATAGGAATTACTATTCGACTGCAGCGGCTATGTAAACTATTTGTATAAAGCCTTATATTTCAGAAGGTAGAAGACTTGGATGCTTCATACCTTGTATGCAGATACCTTATGTTATGAAGTTTCTGTCTGCATATGTTAATGGTCCTTGACCTCATATTTATGGTTCAACAACTGCTTGAAAAAAATGTATGGAATGATTGTAATGGGTGCATGTCAGTCTGGCAGGTTTCATCTGACCTCATTTTCATGGTTCAATATCAATGTTAAGTTTTTGTGTTTTAGTCTGTTTTTGTCTCGGCTTGGTGGAGTCAAAAATCGAGACAAAGGTATGCTGTTTCCAGCGTCGTCGGCGGCAGTGTCAACAGTGTATGAGTTTGTGATTAGGTCTAGTTTATGGTAAACCACTAGTGGTAGGTCAATGATATTTGGTATGCAGTTGTATTAGCATTGGCACATCTCATTTCCATAAAGATTATTTGGCCCCGCCCCCTCAGTCATGGCCTATTGACTCTGAAACTTTTGGTTAGTTTACATGTATTAGTTTGTGATTAGATCAGTTTAAGATGAATCGCTAATGTAAAGTCAATGATATTTGTTATGCAAATGTATTGGCATTTGCAAGTCTCGTTTCCATGGAGATTATATAGCCCCAACCCCTCATCATGGTTCATTGACTTTGAAACTTTTACATAGTTTACAAGTTAATGTTTGTGTTTAGGTTTGTTTAAAGGGAATAACGTATGATAAGTCAATGGTATTTGGTATGCAGTTGTATTAGCATTGGCACATCTCATTTCCATGGAGATTGTTTAGCCATGTACCTTCAGTCATGGTTCATTGACTTTGAATATTTGCAAAACTTACATGTTAAAGTATTGCTATTTTAATTTCAACATTTGCATTATCAAAATTACAAAAAAGGCAAGACATATCTCTGTGTTAACAGTTTATTCAATTATTATAAGCAATAGGTTAACTGTATTTTGTGTATGAAATGATTGTAAGGTGTTCATGTCTGTCTGGCAGGTATCATTTATCCTTGACCTTAATTTCCGGGTTCATTGGTCAATGTTAAGTTTCTGTAGTTTGGTCCTCTTCTCATATACTATAAGTAACGTATGGAATGATTATAGGGTTTTTATGTCTGTCTGGCAGGGTTCATCTGACCTTGACCTCATTTTCATGGTTCATTGGACAATGTTAAGTTTTCAGAGTTTAGTTTGTTTCTTTGATACTATAAGCAAAATGTCAACTATATTTGGTGTGTTGAATGGTTTTAAGGTGTACATGTATGTCTGCCAGGGTTTATCTGACTTTGACCTTATTGTCATTGACCATTGATAGTGTTAACCTTAAATGATACCTTCAGTAAAACCTTTATTTTTAAGACTTTCAACATTAGATTAATCATGGTCAGTACAATGGGTGAGACATTTCAGCGTATGCACTCTTGTTTAATTCTTTTATAAATTGTTTATGTAAAGTTAATTGACTTTTGCTATTATAAAACAGGAACTTTTTATAATGACAAATGATAACTAAAATTTGCTTTCATTGGACTTTTTGAAATTCAAAACATCAATTTATATGAAATAAAAGTATCAGTTGATTTTAGCCATTTGAACTTTTGACATGTAACAGGGTCAGTAATTTATCAAATCTGGTAAAAAAATATTATTGGACAAATTTCCATTCTAATATAAGGTGTAAAATAAGTAAAAGGTCACAAGTCAATTGTGGTATAAAGTCAAGCTATAACTAAACTATGTTATAATATTGGTCAAAAAATGATAAGAATGCAACTTTTTTTCAGAGTGTTTGGCAGTCATCCAGATGGCTGTTCCTGTTAATGTTCTGCCTCCCTACAGTAGTCATAAGCATCGTCTGCTACAGTTTGTGCTGTATGGAACCCATTGATGATGAAAATGCAGATGAGTTTGATGAAGATGAGGATGAAGATGGATACCTTTTAGAGAATAGAGATGACCTTCCACCTGGTAGTATATTGACACATACATTTTACAATTTGGCAAATCTTGAGTTAAAAAAAGGGGGGATGAAGAAAGTACCAACATCAGAAACCATAAATCAAAGAAAAACAGAATACTCCATGATCAAAAGAAAAAGTATTAGCAGACAAAAATAGTTTACAGGATACTACAAAGAAAACTAAAGATTGAGCAACACAAACCACACAAAAAAGCATGAATTCTACCACAATACCCTGAAAGTTTATTATTTTTTTATATTCAAAGGTTAGTTTTCTTGATCTCAATTTGTCATTGGTCATTATTCATTATGGCATCAAATTTTCTTACTTTCCTCTGGTTTCGCTATTATGATGTCATGAAAAAATTTGACCATAACTGATGATGTCACATAGAAAGAACATGTTCTCATACATGACCAAAAGTTTGAGATTGTCACAGAAACATGTGAGGGAGTGGATCCTTAAACTAAGAACACAATACCCATAGAAATAAATCTTTTTATTTGTGATTAATGTAAAAGTACATTGTATTGCATGTTATTTGCTCCCTGTGCAGTCCTGATTTACTATCAGTAATGACATCATTGTACAAGCTATTTCATTCAGTATAATAATCAAAATAATTGTGGATTCAGTGTCTTTAGTAAAAAGACAAATCATTTCATTGTCATAAAGATACTGAGGTTGTGAGTTCAAACCCCACACATGGCCAGTTTTCCTACCAAAGCTTGTTGGTTCTCTCAAGGCACTTCAGCTTCCTGAACCAATAAAAACTGACTGCCATGAAATAGCCAATAGTGCTGAAAGTGGCGTTAAACACCAATAAAATTGATCAATCAATCCAAATTTCATGACAACTCAGCAACAATATCATAAAAAATGTAAATCTAAAAGTTAATATACTGCCATGGTTCTTATTTTTGAATAGTTTTGACATATGGCACTGCATGTTGTATGGAACTATAGTCAAGTACATGCAGTCATTGTAGTTGTAAATTCAGACAATACAGATATTGTGGGCAATTTAGCAAACAACAATCAATCTATTAGATATTAAGTCAATACATATAATGATATTTTCTATTCAATGCCATATTTTATTTCAGCTTATGATGAACAAGCTTCGATAGAAACTCCTCAAGCAGTGACTGGTCATGAAAAAGCAGAATGAACTTTGAACCATACCTTATATGGATTCCGTCTATGAATGACCAAGTCAAGATATATTTCTCTATGTACTGTTCAAACAGAAGGAAGGACATGTCTTGAATTTTCTTTAAAAGTTATTCAAGTTATCGGTGAAAGAAAGAAAATTCTCATGTCAAATATTTTTTTCAGGACTGATCTGTCTAAAACAAGTGCAATATTCAATTCTGCTTGTCTTGTGCCTTTATGAATATGTATATCTTGGTGAATTTGTGATAAATACTATTGTCTTCATTTTATTATTTTTTAAGATAAGAATGAACAGGAAAGGAAAATATCCAAAGAGTTTGAATAGGTTAATAAGTTAAATAAATCACCATTTTGTTGGAGAAAAAGAAATAATTTCACAGTTAAACCAATTTTAATTGAACCTATAGAAAGTTTATCCTTCATTGAATATTTAAATTCGTGGTTCAGCTTTACCCACAAAATCCACAAAAATTGGTATCTCTCGAATAATGATGATTTCGCAGTATCTGTATTGTTTTGGTGTCTTGAATGTGGTTTATTTTTTTAAGTGGTTTAATTTTGCTAATTTTACAATTAAAATGAAATCCCCAAATATCTTCTTGCCTTAATTTCAGAATAAGTGGCAAGAACAAGATAAAAAAGACCTTGCAAAAAAGTTTTGCCATATGATTTGCCAAAATTAGAATCTGTAGATTTATTGTTTTTCATGGGATACCAATTTTTGTGGATTTCTTTTGTACAGATGAGCCAATTTTAATGTTCGATGAAGTACAAATCTTCTATCGGATTGTATGCACTTTTAAAAAAACTCACGAAACCACATTTCCATGAAAATACAATTTTTTCCTTAATCCGCGAAAAATTTGTACCCACGAAAATAAATGAATCCACAGTATTAGAAAATAAACCTCTTTACAGTAGTCTTCATATTAATCATCTTAGAACAAAAAACTACCATAAATACATAAATTATTAGTAATGTGTTTATATGGAAATGTTACATGTATATTGTTATATATTATATTGTCTTTTTATTAATCACTTAACAAAGATGGCATAATCTTTAAAAATCAATCACATCTCGAAATGTAGAAGAAAAAATTCACGAAATAATAAACTTGATGTTCATTTGACAATTTTTTCAAAAATTAATTAATTTTCGTCTTTTGTAAAAGTTGAATAGTTTAATACTATAGAAGGAATATTATTGTGAAATATTTACCAATTTATTTGGGGCTTTAGAAATTCCAGTTAAAGTTTGTGTCAGGAGGAAAAAATGTATATAATTTGCTCTAAAAGTAAAAAGTCGTAATAGAGCTCACTTCTTATTGATTCTGACTAACTTGCAGTTTATATATAGAATACCACATAAAATAAAAGTATTATTTAAATGTCACCAGCCACAACATTCTCAGTTTTAAAGAGGTATCTAGGCAAATATAGGTTTATTGTATATTTATTAAGAATTAACTGATGGAAAACATCATGCCAATTTGTTCTCTAGTGTCACGTTATATTGCCAGATTTGTTGAAATACAAAAAAGTGCACTTTTGTAATTTATCAATGGGCTTTAGATGTCAACTTCATGATTTGCTAAAGCATTTATTGATAAAATAAGTGCACTTTTGTAATTTATCAATGGACTTTAAATGTCAACTTCATGATTTGCTAAAGCATTTATTGATCAAATATTTCATTGACTGATATGTAAACTATGTTTTAAATGAGAGTATAAACAGTCAGGATTCTACTTCGTCAAAATCATCTCCCCATTACGCCACCTTATTTTTATAATCGTAAAAATGGAAGCCATTGTAGTGATTACACGCTGTCAATTTAGCTCTTGAAAACCGATCAATTTATCCACATAGTATCATTACGATCCTTATATGCCAGTTGTATTTTAAAAGACAAATGTATCTAGATATTGAGCATCATTTCATGAAATTTTTGTGCTTTGGTCAACTTAAAACGTCTGATTGGTTGTCAGGGGGAATTTTCAAAAGTTCAAAAATATTTAAAAAAATTCTAATTAGATATTTCGTGGAAGGGCAGACTAAAAATTTTCAGAGGTTGAAGACTAATTACCCTCGATAACACACACAAAAAATGAAGCTTTTATGAAGTTATGCATTTTTGAGATCCACTTGTAAAGTCTGTCGAATTTTTGTGGCGGAATTTATGCTTATGCACAAAAAAGATCCACATGTATTTGCAACTACCACAATCAACTGTTTTGTGAAAATTTGTCTATAATGTAAAAGTTTACAAATATCTCAAAGCTCATTACCATAATTTAAGTAAAAACACATATATAAGTTGCATAATACTTCGCAATACTTCACTTCATATTGAGTGTAGTGTTACATAACGGAATGAATATGATCTCTGCGCCATGCGATTGCCAAGCCATGTGAATCCAATTTGTCCTCTAGTGTCTACTGTAAGATTTGTTCCTGGTGTTCATGCCAATCAAACAACATGTCACCATTGCTAAATATAGAACATATAGTTAAAGTGCAAGTGACTGTTCAATATTTAGAAAACTATAATAGATCCATAAAATTTGACAGGGTAAAATGCTCAGAAATTGGATTTAGCTACTTCCCTTAAACACAAAAATGTTCAAGAGTCCTCGAATAGTGATTTTATACCAGTTTTCACCATTTGCACCAAGATGCAGAGAATTTTTTTTACAGCAACAATCTGCAATACAAAATCTACAAAAAATGGAGAAAAGACAAAAACCATGTACAAGAAAATCAGAACACTGGTCAAAAGAATTAATGATGAAAAGACAAACAATTCTTAACAAAACACTACTCAGAAAACTAAAGATTGTGGATATGCTTGAAACCATCAATTGACTGCTAAAAGGAGTTATTGCCCTTAAAAGACTATTTCTTACATAGGATCCTCTCAAAATTATAAATTACTTAATTTTACAACTTAATGTCTCCATGATAAGAACATAAGATCTCAAATTCTGTTTTGATTAATGTTTCAGGAAACACTAAGAATGTAAATTCATGAAAAAAGAAATATATAAACATGTTCCAGTTCAGGAGGTGAAGTCACATGCACTTGTTTCTGAAAAAAAAATCATTAACCTTAATATAACACTACATATAAATTCAATCACATCTTTAGTCTAACCATAATCATGTTTTTTTTTTAACAGTTTTAAATTTATCTAATTTAAGAACATATAAAACAGGAAAAATCCCAATCTTCTACATATTTTCTTGCAATTGGTAAAGAGTGTTGTTTTCAATGAGAGTTATTTCTATTTCCCTATACTATATAATGATTGAGTCTTAAGTATGTGTCTAGGGTAAATTGTTACTTGTTGTCATAGTGTATAAAGTTAAATTATTTTTTTATAGTGATTTGTTAAGCCTTTGAAAAATATGATGTATAATCATTAATGGTTTGCTTGTAAGTGAAACTATTAGCTAAAAATCTAAGAATAGACCTAAAGTGGAACAATACCTCATGACACACAAGAGATTGTATATGTATTTTATTTAATAATACTGATTTGGGACCAATTATCAACAGTAATTAAAGATATAATTAGGAAGGAACCATATGTCCATAATTTTATTATTAACTTAATGTTTGTTAATTGACTGTAAATTTGTCCAGAAAAATAGTTACAAAGTGCTTTGATTAAATGAATTTCCTAAAATGATTGTTCAAATGGTTATGTCTTTATGTCAAACAGGGATATTTATTGTACCTTTGTAAGCATTCAGCTTTCTTGTAAGTAGTACCCAATGCAATCCTTGATTCAGGTAAATCAAGAAAAACATTTTGAACAGACTAGATTTATAAAAGTGTTATTTTCATCAACTTTCTTTTTACTAAAATGTATTGTTTCTTTAACATTCATTTCTTTTTGAGACACAAATTTTAGTGGATATGACTTATCATTATTATGCAAACACATACTCTCACTGTTTAATGATATCAGATAAATTATAAAAAGGGATTCTGTTTCAATGCAGTATAAGTATAGAAATACCGGGTGTCCATCCGATATATCATATATTTATATTAGCAATGTCTCCAACGAGTTGGAAAATCAGTGCCTATAATTTATTTTTAAAAGAGTTGTGCCCCTTGGAAACATTATTTATATGGAAAATTACATAGTTAGTGCTCTCATTTGTATGATTTTTGCCAGATTTTTATGAAACTTATATTGCAGGTTTATATCAGCAATATCTTGGACGAGTTCGAAAAAACAGTGCTGATCAATTATTTTTAAAAAGAGTTATGCCCCTTGGAAATATTAATATTATGGAAATTTGCATCGTTAGCACTCTCATGTGTACAATTCTTGCCAGATTTTTATGAAACTAATATCATATGTTTATATCAACAATGTCTCAAACGAGTTCGAAAATCAGTGCCAGTCAATTATTTAAAAAGAGTTATGCCCCTTGGAACTATTAATTATATGGAAAATTACATTGTGAGCGCTCTCATAGGTACAATTCTTGCCAGATTTTTATGAAACTTATATCATAGATTTTTATCAGCAATGTCTTGGACAATTTCAGAAATAAGTTCTGATCAAATATTTTTAAATAGTTATGCCCTTGGAAATATTATATCAGGAATTGCATTGCATTTGTTCTCAAGCCTTCATTTCTCTCAGATATTTATAAAAAGTGTTAAAGAACAAACATGTAGTGTTCTCTTTTCAGTTTAATATTCCCCTTGGACCTTGGACATATAAAATATGTGAATGCGAGGGACATTAGAACTCTGTTCTATGATTAACTTTAAATTGTTACTGAGTAAATTATGTGTAATTGTTAAAAAGAGGCAGGTGCTATTAATAATTCACTGCAAAGTACAGATTCCTGACTAGTACAATAGTGTGTTATTTTAAGCTGGTTCATAAATGTTTTTTGTTTGTAAATTTGTTTTGAAGTGCTGAGCATAAGATTTTTTATATTGTGAGTATTGTGTATTTTGATGTGAACTGCTCATTGTGTACAAGCTGTTGTTTGAATAAGATGAATGTATTTCATGACAATTCTTAATAAATTGAAATCCATTTAATACTCACTCACTTCTCATGAATTTCCCATATACATTTGTAAAGTAGTTATTGTTGCTGCAATCAAATTTAAGTGAAGAAAACTTGTTCAACAATGTTATTTATAGGATGTCAGCTGAAGAATTTTTCTTCACAATTTATATAGATGTTATTTAGTTTTCTTACAATTGATGAATCAAATTTACGAGGGAAAGATGAAGATTTATTTGGAAGTAAACTAATTGTTGCAATGATGTAACAGCTGGTTCATGTTGGCTTCACTGTAGATTTACCTAAGATCCACCTTAACAATTTTGGTTTTGATACTTGATAGAACTTTACAACCCTCCTCGAAGAAAGGTAACAAGTCCGTTTGTCTATCTGTCATACTTTTTCCTACGGTACGTTTAATTTGGTTTAGTATTCTGTTTTATTTTTACACATTTAAATCAAAATGAAGTCGTCCCCTCCCTTTGTGGCTTTATTTTTTGGAAGATCATGGTCAAAGTACTTACTTTCTTAGTCCTTACTTTGCCTCTCGACACAAAGGGCAAGGACAAGTTGCAGCCACTCGTCAGGATGAATTAAGTTTCTTGTACTGGATACCGTAAATGGGTTTTTTTATGAGACAAGATAGTTGGTCTTTTGCTCATCCAAAAGTAACACATAATTTACTCATCATACAAGTGAACTTTCTGTCATATTTAGTTTTAATTCTTACTGCAGTTCTTCATCTCTTTATTCTCGTTTGAATTTAAGGTTCTCTCCTAGATTTTTCTATATATATTTTTACAGGATCCCACATCCAATGCCTAACTGTTAAATCCTATGCTGGTATTTATATGGTTTATTTATAGACAGGAAAGTAAAATTACTTCTGAGGATGGTGGATGGCTGTTTAATATCCAGTAACAAATACAATGCATATTCAGGACGAAAATATGTTAATGTGATATGCATATGAATCCTGCTTTGTACTAGACCACTACGCTAAGCCAGATGTTTTACATGCTAGTTCACAAGGTAACAGTCCGCAGGAAGACATGTCACCTAACCTTGATACATTATTCAAACTGCTTTTCATAAAAGCAACAAATATCAATTCTCAAGTCTTTGATTTACCCAGCTAGAGATCTAACCCACAACCTCTCAAAATTACTTCATGATTACTGACCTAAAACTTTTCTGTCATAATAAACTCAACTGGTTTAGCAGTTCACAACAAAAGTTAGGCCAATCAGGAAAGCTTATTTTTGGAAATGGCAGCCATGTTTGTTATATATCAAATAGTAATAATATTTCATACATCATTCCAGAAGAACATTTTGGTCATATATCTCTTCATGTGCATACACATACTTGGCTTTCCCATTTTTAGGGTTTGACCATACCTGATGAAGAAAACCAGAAAAGCTCTTTGGATGCAACAAATTTATAAATTGTTATTTTCATTATGCAAAATTTAAAGAAGTAACTTGAGAAGTTTGGGAGAAAAATTTTCTGATATAGATAATGGGAATTGATAAAAGAGAATTATAATGGTAAAATATCACACAGAGTGTACATGTCGACAGACTCTAGAGACAGACAAGGGTAAATCTTAAGAATTTACACTTTCGTGTGGTGGGACAGGCATTTATCAAAACCAAAACAGATTATAACAATATATGTTTAATGTTTGTAAACATATCATATATATAAAGTAAATGTGAAATAATATAAGTTATGTAAAAGGTGGTGTGTAACACTGTTAATCTAACAAAGTCAACACAAAGTTATCTTTGCATAGATTATATTTGTATAAAGTGGTCGCTCCTCTCTTTATTATAATTGTATAAGATGGTCTATCTTCTCTATATTGGTCCAATAACATAATGGGACTAAACGTAAATGAAAAATAATTATTGTAGTGTTAATACATTATATAAAATTGATCATAAATGAACCCAAAACCATTTTACTTCTTTACTCTAACTTTTAGTTCTAAATAACTGCATGAAATACCTCTGGAATTCCTCTTCTATCTTTACCCATTAAAATCATTATAACTCAAAACCTGTCTAAAATGAACGTTTGTCATATAATGCACAGATATCATAACTATCTTCTGTAATTAAACCTGTCCAAACTATATTCTGTTAGAACTCAAAACCTGTCTACAATGAACTGTTGTCATTTAACACAGAGATTAAATGATACCCGTGTGCTGGTCCAAGATCAATAAATGTCCAAGGTCGTTAAATGTCCAGGGATGTTTTTTGTTATTTTTTATTTCTGAGAATCCTTTCCCCGCGCATTTTTTGTATTAATAAATCATTGCAAAAATTTCAGAATTTACAGTTTTGACAATCCGGGAAAGAGGAGTCCTTAAAAGTAAAGCAGAGATTTCAGATTATTTTTTTTCAGACCAAGTCATTCTATAATGTGTAATTCTACAATAAGATTTCAAAAGGTGGACTGTTCCTTATCGTTCTGCTTTCCAACAAATATAGTATATTCTCAAACCTCGTTTTAGGAATAATATTTATTTAGTACAGTAAAAATAATAGAATTAAAACAGAAACAACAAAAGAACACTACAATAATTATAACAGAAAACAATATAACTTTATTCCTGTTATATTTAGTACTGTATATATATCAATGATAATTCCCATATGAACTTAATAAATATAAAACCAACAAATAAAGACAAGAAATCAGGTCCTAAATCTTAAGTTAATATAAAATCATGAACACTAAACAAAAAATAAATCAGAAAACATATCAGCTATGCATTCTTACAGTATAAATTCTCAACATTATATTAAACATATTGGTCCACTATCCTAAAAAAAAATATATCAACAAAAAATCTAAGTTTAACTTCAGATTTGTTTAATTTTGCTCAAAGAACATCATTTCTACTATCATACAGTTTATATTTAATGAATTATTTGTAAAATCTTAGGACAATGTATATCATATGTGTTGTCTTGGGACTATGGTATTTCATTTTTGTCAGAAAGAATGTAATTACCACAGCTCTTTAAATTAAACATAACGTAACATGACAACATCATTATCCATAGATCTAAATATCTAAATATCTAGATTTAATCAATGGAATAGATCAAGTGCAGGTATGTAGGTTTAAAATGTTCTGAGGACTTGCATTTATCTTAAGACAGTGTCTCATATCTTTCTATTGGTCTCCATCTATGTAAACAATGATTAAACAAATTAATTTTTTCTACTTTCTACGAAATGAAGAGGAATATTCTAAACATTGTATTATTAACAATAGAGGTGTGTAAGTTTGTTTCATTGTGTGTAAGTACTTTAAAGGTATCATTTCACCTAAGTTCTTCTACCTTGGGACTCATTATTACATGTTCTATTATAATACAAATTTTGTAAATACAACTAACAAGATATTATATTTTCATTCTTCTGTATGGACAATTCCTTCTTCTTTAATGGACTTTTAAAGATATACAAGAACAAAAAAAAAGACGAAATATACAGGTTTCCAATAAATTTAATTGTTTTCATGATTTTCACTTCCCCTCAGATTCTCTGACTAATAAAAATGAGTAAGAAGTTTATATAATTGGCCTAGGCAACCTATGCACAAGTCCCAAACTAATAATAAAATGTGATTCCTTCTTTTTTGGGCAAGCTCTTGCCAATCTAAATTTCTTTTGTCAGTAAAATGTATGGTCAACATACCACAAAAATTTACAAACCTTTACGTTTTTTCATGATATATTTAAATTACATGTTTGCTTACCGCTCTATTTTCAGTGTTATTTGTTATTTATGACTACTTTCAAGCGAGAAAATAAAAGGAAACAAGGTCTAGTTTCTAAATACATATTAAATATATAAATCAACAATTTGCTTTGTTAGAAATAGGTAAAGGAACCAAACTTCAAAGATAAAACTGTGCATGAAAATACTAAATATATATATATATATGAATATATACAGATATACAAATGAAATGATGTAACAAAAATAGTTCAGTAAGTTTATGGTTACATTATGTAAAAAATTCAAACGATTATTCAAAATATTATGTATAGAAGAAAGTTTATATTGCATATGACTAGCATGACATGTAATGGTTATCCCCCTTTAAAAAACAGAACACGAAACGAATTCTAAAGTTTTTAAACCTCCACCGATTTTACTTTCCCTCAGTAAAAAGCCTTGTGTCAATTCTAAATTACAAATTCTAACTATTTTCTACATTTTTCCCTTTTATCATTTGCTATGAAGTTATAAAAAGTAAAATCTAAAGTAAATATTACTGAATAATAACAATTTCAAAGCAATGATACAACTTTAGTACACTTAGACCACAAATATCAGTGCCTCTTTAAAGCATGTAAATCAATAAAGCCACTTAAGTAACTGAAAATTAAAGATGAAAGTCCCAGGATGTGATTTACGGCTTAAATGTAGAAATCATAAAGTACATTGTGTATAAACATTGGTATAGAGTCAATGACGTGTTTAGTAAAGCATTAATCTTTCCTTATATACAGATATACATTATATACACTGTATTATTATGCTAATGAATATTCATGATATATAATAATTATTCAACATTTTGTGGAAATTTTGAGTTTATAATTTAATGGAACACATGTTATGATGAGTAATAGAAACTTATTTTACATTTTTATAGAAATTCTGAGTAAATAATTTAATGGAACACATTATAAACTGAAACAACAATAAACTTATATTTCTTTTCATATTTTATGGATGTATACATGAAGAAAGTGATTATGATCTTGAAAACTATGTAGTAATATTTGTTGTTTCCTTCATGTGTAAATAAAAAGTCTACCAAAATATTAACGATAAAATGATGTAATTAGCTTTAATATTTTATAGTTAAATATTTATTCACTTAAACACACATTGTTGAAAAAATAAATAAGTTATAAATTATTCAATTATTTTTTTGAAATATAAAAAATACACGTCTACATATAGACACATGAGATAACTTCAACTGTCCAATACATAAATGACTAGCTGATGAACTTCCAATAATACAATTAAGTGCATTTCAATATTTCGAAATAACATCAACAAGAGTTAATTACCCTTGTATTTGTACAATAACAAAATAAACTGCAAATCAACACTTTATCCCAATTTTATCATCAATAACAATTTGTAACGATTTGGCACTAAAACATGATACGTTTCTCTCTGTTCAAATTATTTCTTGCACAGAATTTTAAAACTTCTAATTAATTTATTAACAATGCTTGAATTTATTTTTGTTAGCATGTAACAAAATTGTTTTAAACAGAATAATAAATTAAATATCTAATGTAAACATATAATTCATTTCCAGAGCATGATATTTTCAGTTTAGTTTGTCAAGCCATATTTGCTGTTGTTTTTTTTTTGTGTTTTTTTTGCAGTTTATTAATATTTTTCTATGTATTCTTTAATGAATACCTTTTTTAGGATAACACATTATTGCTCTTTAGTATGTACTGTGAAAAAAGTGAAAATTAATACACCATATAACGTAATACTTCATCTTATCCTTCCAATACATTGTTCTATTTAAACACAACTACATGAATAGATAAGTAACAAGAGTAACTATATATATAAAGTCCAGTATATACATATACATAGTGTATAAAGTGAATAAAAAATTATATATATAAAAAACATGACATAAATCATCAAAAACAATTATTGCACATGAACAGTTTCAGCAGATATTGTACAGCACCACATACTACTGTGCTAAAGATTTACACAACTTTACATTGGTATTAACCCAACATATTTATAAAGTCAAGAAACAGCACTTGTGGTAGAAAAAAATAGAAACAAAATGGAAAAGTTTTGAATAAGCATTTAAAATTAATCACTCACTACACCTAAACTCAGCATAATCTTTTATCTTACAACATCTTCATATTTGATTTTTATGATTTAAGTTCAAATACTGGTATGTTTTGATTAAACTATAAAGAGTTCAGTTTTTGTTGAGCATTGAACTTTTAAAATAAAATCTGTATTAATTACAGTTTTTGGCATGGGAAATATCTTTGGAACAAGACTGAATGTGTGTTTTATATAATATTTACATTTAGTATTGCCAAAAATCACAACTATTAAAAACCACCTTGATGTCTTATACCATTATTACATCACTTTCAAAATCAGTTGGTTTTTCTTCATTTGATTCTTCAGAAACACTTTCATCAGATGATCTTTTGGAATCTCCATTTTCAGCTGGCTTTTTAGCCCCATTTTCAGCTGGCTTTTTAGCCCCATTTTCATCTTTACTTTCTACATTGTTGACTTCTTCCTTTTTGCTGTTTTTCAAAGAAACACCTTTCTCCTTATCATCACCATCAAAATTTTCTCCATTTTCCTCATTTTTATCTTCCACAATTTCCTTCAAATCTTGAACTATATTGTCCGTTTCTGTAAGATCACCAGATGACTTAGAAGGCTGTAATGTCTGGTCCAAAACTTTTTCATTTTTACTGTTAGTAAACATAGATACAGGTCTAGAACCCCTGTCTGTAACAAATATAATAAAATTTATATCAGAATATTTTCTTGTAATTATTTTAGCTGTCTTTCAAGATTATTATAATTATATTTTTTTTCCATAGAAACAAGAGTACATTCAATGAAGTGTCTCGCCTGCTCTGCTGATCATGATTGAAATTATTTTGAAAGTCTTTAAGACAAAAGTTTTACTACAAGTATCACATAAACTGAACATTATCAATGACCCATGTAAATAAGGTAAAGTAAAGATGATCCCTGCAAGATTTACATGTCATTTGACAAATGAACCATAAAATTGAGGTCAAGGTCAGATGAACCCTTCAAGACAGACATGTACACCTTACAATCTTTAATTTCCCTTGGAGTTCGGTATTTTTGTTATTTTATTTGTTTCCATACACCAAATAGAGTTGACCTATTACTTAAAGTACTGAGAAATGGCCTTTAACGTGAAAACTTAATTTTGACCTATGACCCATGAAAAATAAGGTCAAGGTCATATGAAGGCTGCCTGATGGACATGTGCACCTAACAATCATTCAATGTAGAACTGTGAGCTATTTCACATTAACGATATCCCTGCTTTAAGTATTCAGTAAACAGGAAGTTGATGAGCAATGAATCCCATGATGCATCACACAGTTTAACATGCCCATATAAAGCCTGATAATGAATTTCAGGAAGTTCTGATTTATTGTTCCTGAGAAAAATGTGACCGAAATTTCTTGGAATGGACAGACAGGGGTAAAACAGTTTACCCATAACTATAGTTGACCTATTGCTTATAGAATCTAAGATACCTACTTGACCACAAAAACTTGACCTTGATCACTGATCCATAAAATGTGGTCAAGGTCAGGTGAACTCTGAATAGTTGTCCTATTATTCATAATAAGTATGAAATTTGTGAAATAAAAAACTATGCAGTTTTTTTAAGCAGTTGCTGAACCATGAAAATGTCAAGGACAATAGACATATGACAGACAGAAACTTCAGAACATAAGGCTTACAAGGTACAAAGCATCCAGGTCTCCTACCTTCAGAAATATAAAGCTTTACACTAATAGGGGGAGGGGGGCAATGGTTTTGAAAACTTTCAACTACATAATGCATTTGTGATCCCTATTGTTGAGATTTTGACTTGAACTGTAAAATAGAACATATGTACTGAACACTATTTGATTATGCAGAATTGACCCTAGATTTTACAACACTATAACTTTTGACATCAAAAACAATAATAACTTGTTTTTAAGCATCAGACATTTTTTCTCTTGTGATGTCAAAATCTAACTGGAATGTTTGTGATGACCTGGAATGGCAAACAAATCATGATAAGGCTTATTCATAAGCTCCTGTTTGGAAAAATTCATGCAAATCAAGCATCTTTCTTCAAACTTAGCAAAGCATTCAAAGATTTAAAGAAAACTGAACCTTTAATAAGCAAAGCGATCTTTTCAACAGAAGTCCTACTCGCTTCTTTTTTCCCCACTTTACTAGCATAGAATATCAAACCACCTATTCAAAATACTCATTAACACTACAACTACTTGTATAACACTTACAGTAATACATGCAAAATATTATCTCCTTTATTGAAGGTCTATAGGTCAGATTTATGTACTATGTAATTCAGAAATTATTGCTTGCATTTATTATTATGATTTTTGAAGAATGGACCAAAATGTGAGATTAATTATTGCGATTTCTCAAAAATATCCTCACAAATATATGTGTATTGAATTCAGAATGTGAGTTCTTATTATTGAGATAATCACCAAGTCACCTAATTTTGCATTAATAAAAACATCACAATAATTTCTGAAAATTCGGTATACAAAAAATGATATGTGGAAAGACAATTACTGATTACTAATTTAAATAGGTCTAAACGGTCCTTCTTTTCATTCAATTTTATTAGGAAGAGTGATAAGGAATAAATATATATAAAAATGCATATTGTGTCACATAAATACTTTCTATATACACTATTATAAACCTATTTAAAAAATCAGTTTCAAACCAATTTTCATGGTTTTTCTGGAAAGTAACTTCTTAGTCTATTTCTATTTTATTTTTGTCATCTTTGGTTAAGAAGAAATGTTAAATTTTTCTGAAGCATCAAAAATATTGTGATTATCAATTATCTAATATCAAATCTCTAAATGTTTAAAATAATTTTAATTACAAATAGATTATCTCTATCCACTTTTAGTCAATAAAAACATAATAATAACAGTAAAGTTCATATTGTCTACCGCCAGATGAGTTATCAACTAAATACTTTAAAATGCATACATAATATACACAACTCCCAGGAATCTCTTTGCCATAGTTTCTGGACAATTTTTTTTGAAAATGAGTATTTATTGTACACAATTTTTTTTTCATTTCTCAATTATAAAACCAAACTCAGAAAATAAAAGGTTTAATCAGGAACTGCTATGCTAAAACAGGACAGGTTAAAAGTCCTTGTTTAAAAAGTGCAATATAAGTTTAGTATAATATCATTGCTTGTTATTATCATGTTTACAATAAATAAAACAATTCTTTAAATTATCAAAATTCACTAATTATCCAGAAGGTTTGACAAACAATGGGAAATTTGTGCAGTGAAGGAAGTCTGTGCTCTATAATTAACAAGATTCCAATTCTCATCCAGCAAAAATCTTACACATAAACTGATGCAATCTCAATACTTTCTGTAGGCTAAAAATAATCATAACAAGTTGACGATTTGTTGAATAAAAATAATCTAGATTCTCAAATCTCCCAATATTATTTTTTTTTAATTTTAAATCATGGTTTATTTGAGTTCACTTCTAAAGTTTTTAATCCCTTACAAAAAGCTAGATATTAGTATTGAGCAAGTCAAATCTTATTGTATTAAAACATATAGTTAATCCCTCAAACATTGTCTTGAAGCTTTACCCTAAAACAAACTCCAACCCTGTAAGAAATGCTGAATATGACTTTTAACCTTCAGAGGTGAGAACAAGTAAGATGATTCATTTCTTCTTAAGACCTTGATTTTGTGATGAGCAATGTGAAAACATGTGATCAATTTTAACATAAGTAGTAACTCCTAGCCTCATTCAAGCTATGTGAAATATTTCTATTTATTGTTTCAATTGAAATCAAAGTACTGTCATACTGCTTACTTGCAAATCCAATATAGTAAAGATAAACAAGAATGTGTTCATAGGACACCATACCCTACTCCCATTATTGTGTTCACAGGACACCATGCCCTACTTCCATTATTTTGTTCATAGGACATTATACCCTACTCCCATTATTGTGTTCACAGGACACCATGCCCCACTCCCATTATTGTGTTCACAGGACACCATGCCCTACTCCCATTATTGTGTTCACAGGACACCATGCCCTACTCCCATTATTTTGTTCACAGGACACCATGCCCTACTCCTATTATTGTGTTCATAGGACACCATGCCCCACTCCCATTATTGTGTTCATAGGACACCATGCCCCACTCCCATTATTGTGTTCATAGGACACCATAACTTAAATTTTTTTGAGGTAAAATTATCAAAATATTCTTGATGAGGCTGAGGACAACCCATGCTTTGCAAATTTTAGGGGGGCGCACGCCCGCCACACCCCTGCCTGAATCCTCCCCTGCTCAAGGTAAAATAGCTAAACCAAAACTTTTAACCTGCTGAGTGTACTAATTTCACAAAAATCTGGATTAAATCATAAATTTCATAATATGAAAGCTATCAACACTGTCCAAAAACATTAATCAAAAATACTTATTTCAATTTACATATTTTCAGCCTAGCCTTCCAAAGTCCATGTGAGCTACTGCCATTATCTGATCTCATTAATTAATAATTAAAATGTTTGTCTTCTTGAGAACCAATGATCAGAATGGAAACAAACGAGCAAACCATTCCTTAAAATGTCCTCAAAATTTCAAAGTGGATTTGCAAGTAAAAATTATGACTAGGTATTAAACAGTTATTTTTTTCAGTTCTAGCTATTTTCTTGCTTGATAAAAGGCTGGTAAAACAATGATAAATGCTTGAACATTCCAGTTACCATAAATCACAATGGTCAAGATTTCCTTTTAAAGGCTGCAAACCTATCTCTTACATGTAGCACTAGAACAAATAAGTTAAAAGCAATAAAATATAGCCAGAAAAGCTATTATAGTTGAAAAATAGTTTTTTCTAAATAAACTAAAAAAAAAATCATTATAAAAGTTAACAATTCTGTTCTTTCCTAACATGTAATATTTTACAAAATACAAAAACATTTGTAATATAAAATCTATGAGGTGATTTTTGCATGTGAGTATGAAATAATGAAAAAGATACGAAACCACTCAACAGAGTTACAACACCGGTCCACAATTTCAGAAAAAAATTCAAATAAAAGGGCTTCCAATATTATTTATTTTATCGGAATAAAATCAAAACAGTTGCAATTTTAGATTTCCAGGAAACCCACATTTGAAAATTTTTGCAAGACTTAGTCCAGACCATTTTGACTATACCTTTTTGTATAACTGGAGGTATATTTCTGGGTAATGAAGCAGCTTTACTGTCTTCATTAGTTTTACCGCTGTCTGTTTTATCCTCTTGTAAGGCTGAAATATATAACATTTGTTAAACAACACAGAGACAATGCAGAATTAAACATTAGAAAACTGACATTAAAATAAGTTTGTTGATCATCAATACCCATACTGCTCCCCAAAATACTCACAAAACTCTCTTAACCCTACCACCTATTAATATACCTATCTCTAGCAAGTGGTTTTTATTGTTTCATTTATTTAGGAATTCCTGGTTAATTTCATATTTCTGTAATATATTTCATAAAAAAAAGCTTCCAATTTTTTTTAAATTGGAACTAATACTTTTGCTAAAATATACTTATGAATAAAAGGTTAGTTGGGGTGACCATCAGTGAGACAGCCTTACAATATATAGCCACTGAGAGAGCCTTACAATATATAGCCACAAGGACAAACAGAGGTCAAGATCTAATCATGGAAAGTGACCCTACCAATGTCAAGGTTCAATTGCCACGAGTAACAGTAGAAAGGTTAAGAATTATATAAACAGTGACCACAAAAATCTGCAATTAATACAAAAAGAAGAACATATGGTATAACTTCCAATGAGACAAATATCCATAGGGCCAAAATGTGACAGATTGACATTGGATGTTGTCAATAGTAACACTCTGAATCAATAGACACCACTGACATGAATTAACATGAGCTGGAGTTGGACCAGTTATGTGAGTACTCACAACCCCCTCCCGTCCTTATATTACTACAATTAAATGTTGATTGATGAAAGTTCTTATGAACTGATCAGTAAGGCTTGATGATACCAACTGCAATGTGTTAACAAATTTTTATCAATTGCATTAAAGAGAGTTAAACACTTAAAGTGACAGTAACTTAAGTTTTTTTTGTGTTAGTAGATACAAAATGTATATCTAAATATTTCAAGTATGGATTTACATAATGTGCATCTATAAATAATATACTTGTCTATAAGACTAATAAGTATAAAAAACTAAGTATAATATATTCAGGCTTATAGAATAAATGTTATACCTTACAATAAGGCATGCACTAAGGCTTTATATATCAGATATGATGCCTACTTAGTTTATATCAGCTGCAAAAAATTGAAATATCCTGAAGAAAGGGATAAAGAAAAGTACTGACAGATGTCAGGGCTGATATGTATAAAACCACTTAAGTTAAGATATCCAATCGTAGTACTAATTTATCGTAGGACATGTAGAAAAATCTGTCCGTTTGGAACAAATCTTATCTTAAGTTGTTTTATGCATATCATCCCAGATATCTATAAATGATGGAAAAGTCACTGAAATCTAATTAAGTGAGAATTTACATCTTTTATATCTAATTTGTTGAGAAGTTCAGAAATTCAAGTTTAGCCATGCACAAATTTTTTTAAAGTTTACATACACAAGAATAGAGTCTTACGACAAAATTTATGAGAATCTGAAAAACAGAATGCATTGCTATCCTTGTTAGTTTTGCAATTTTAATGCATTCTTGAAGAATAACAACCACATGGTAAAAGCTGTTGAGGTTTTGTTAGTACAAGGTCACAATGGATATCTTGTGATCCTATTAAAGTCTCAACTTTACCAAGCAGTTCAAAATTTGTCAATAAGACATTTAGACTTCCATAACCAAACAATTACAGAAATTCTTTAAAATTTGAAAAAGATGAAATCTACTCTCTACTTTTGAGCTATGTGTTTAATTTAATTTAAACTCCTGCCTTTATACAAACCCCTTCCCTTTGATGTTTTATGGTGGAAAAATATTCTATAGTTTGCCATTAAATCACAATCAAAAATAAATAGGTCTATCAATTTAAAATTCTGGTTTGACAATTCTATTTAAATTTTTTGGCATTATTAAACAAGGGTTATATTCCTAGAAATTAAATACAGGCTTCTTTTTTTTTGAGACATGAAATTGATTTTTTTTAAATCTGCTCTTGATTAAAATACTTCTAACAATGCTAGAATCACTAAATCTAGTTTTAGAAAGTTTATTAGGTTCCCTTACAAAAAATACACCCCTCTCCCTCCCCTCAAACCAGGGGCTCATATAAGGAGTAACAGGACATATAATTTTTTTTCTAACTGTAAGAAGAAAGCTGTGATAGCACACAAAAAAAAAGCCTATTTTGATGTCTGAAAGCTTTGACAGTAAGTAAACCTAGGAACTTCTGATACTTACATGTATCACTTAAATCTAAAGAATTTGTAAAAAACATTACAATTTATTAATTATTAAACACTTTTTAGGTTATATCACTGTTAGTCATCTTTTTATCTAATGTGGATTCATTTATTTTTGTAGATACCAATTATCATGGATTGAGAAAAAATTGTATTTCCATGGATATTTGATTCGTTGTTTTGCCAAAGTCTCCATACAAGCCTTTAGAAAATTTGTACTTCATTCAACATTTAAATTTGTGGTTCTTCTTTACCCAAAAAATCCACGAAAATTGGTATCCAACGAATAATAATGAATCCACAGTATTTCTTGTTATTATTACATTAAACCTGCTGTGAAAAATATTTAACCGAATGTATTTGGGTTTTGGTGCTTGTGGTTATAAATACTTGCAGTGCACATATAACAGAGATTCGTTTGGTGCATTCTGCTGTGATATTCTGCAGTGAATTACATAGACTTTTGTCTTATCATCTGACATCACTCAGTTAAATCATTCAATGAAGTGCTTGAATAGTGTACTTTCATTTTACATGACATCAATAAATCTGGCATTAACATAAGTTTAAGCAGTGGACTTGACTGTGGTTTGTTATAGGGTTCACAAAGGGCCTTGTTACTTACGGTCACTTTTGACATTTGCCCGAGGTTTTGGAAGAAGATTTGGGCGTGTTTTAAGAACTGGTCCAGAATTTTCAATCTCTCCATCTATAAGTAGCCAATGTTATTTTAGCTTTCTAGAAACATACATAAGACCATCTGAATGTTTACAACATTATTTTTAAAGTCTAAAGAACACACAAAGTCAAAATGAGGCTGCCATCTTTTAAAATTTTATATCACATTTTGGAATTAGCAGATAAACACCAAGTACAATAATCCTATTTGTAAAATAAAATTCCACATGATTTTCATAGTATATTGGCAGTTTTTATTTCAGAAGATTTCATTTAACAAGTGAATTAAGCCAACATAAGCACTCCATGAATATAACTCACAATATGATATCCTGGTCAACTAATTTAGTTTAACAAATTTTCTGATTTTAAGAAATCTTTTTAACACATAAAATGTAGGACCTCAGAGTCTATTTTCATTCTTGTCTAAAATTTTGGTGATGAATTTCAGGGATAGAGTCAGACCTGTGAGTGTAACTTACCATCACTCTTGACACTTCCCCTGGGTTTTGGAGGTGGATTAGGGCGTGGTTTTGGAGCAGGTTTTTGACCTTTAGTTTCTCCATCTAAAAGATATAATCATCTTGAATATATGTAAAATACAAATAATTAATCATTGCCTTTACTTAAATGTCTTCTGAAAACTCTGGTTACTCTCCCTAAAATGTAGATGTATAGTTAAATAAAATGAAAACATATGTATAATATGAGAATAAAAAGAATTCATAGAAGTTTTTCTGAAAGAATCTGTTCCACGTGCAATTAAACCATTTGAAAAGAATGAAACTCTGAGAAAACAAATAGACTTAGACATGGAAAGGCAGACAATATTATTTACACACAATAAATACTATCATAACACATGCAATGACATTGAAATTTTCTGTTATAGATTTAATCTGAGTGAAGACGACAGTTAAGACCCTTAAAAACTGTCCAGTTTCTGTTGATATTTAAGAAACTTTTAGTAATTTCTGTAAATTTCTTTAAAAGACATACACAAGCTATGTTATTACTTTCTTAAGAAAATAGTTTCACAGTAATAAACAAAAATGTTTTGTCTGTCAAACGTGGTTTCCACATTGGAATAAAAGTAACTGTAGCATATCATTTTCAATATCCTTTTTGAAGTATTTCTAGATCCTTGATTGTGGAAATTGAATTCCTTATAAAATCAAATTCAAATTCTATTAATAATATTATACATTCTATATGTATAAGAATGGTGTGTCCAGTTACCTTCCCCAATTGTGGAAGTCCTGGAAGCAGTCGATGTCCTGCTACTGTTACTGTTTGGACGAGGAGCTGGTTTTGGTCTGTTCTGGTCATGTACCAGCTTTAAGACAGATATTGGAGTTTTCTCCTTGGATTTCGTGTCATCCTTTGTTTCTGAAGGCTTGGGTGATACTGCTGTTTCTGTCTTTGGTGGCTTTACTGCTTCCTTTTCCTTAGTTTCTTCACTCGGAGTTTTATCCTACAAAAAATTAAATTTTACATTTCAAAAGCATAAAAAGTTTCAATACTTGACTACTTGTTGATAAACTGATATGGCTATATACATTATATATGCTGTACTGTAGATATTTCTGTGGTCTGATATGGCTATATAAATTATATATGCTGTACTGTAGATATTTCTGTGGTCTGATATGGCTATATATAGATATAAGAAGATGTGGTATGAGTGCCAATGAGACAACTCTCCATCCAAGTCAAAATTTATAAAAGTAAACCATTATAGGTCACAGTACGGTCTTCAACACGGAGCCTTGGCTCACACCGAACAGTAAGCTATATATATTATATATGCTGTACTGTAGATATTTCTGTAGTGGTGGTGCTAATTGTTTCAAAGTCACTGCTTAAAATTTAATGCAAAACTATTTTTTCATTTAACATCTTATTTATTTTTTTTAATTTAAGTCACTTTTACCAAACTTGAGCACCAGTTCTGCCCTGCTTACAGAAAGGAAACCTTGTATAGTTGACCTAATATTTCTGCTTGCTGTCTTTTGTTTAAGTAGAAAGAATATACCATCATCGATAACATCCAAACCTATACATTCGATTGGAAGTCTCAATGCCTTCTTCATTTAACTACCATACTCCAGTCTCAACATTTGTTTTATTACTGTTACCACAGATTTTCTGTTCTATTGTCTGTGTTTAAGTTAAGCCTACATATCATCTAGGCCTATACCTTCTAATAGAAGCCTCAATGCCTTTTTTTACTATTTTACTTACCACCGATTTTCTGTTCTGTTGTTTTTGTCTCAGCTGAGCCAACATATCACCACCCATAACACCAAGACCTATTCCACCACCAGGAGGCCTCAAAGCCTTCTTTGGTTGTTTGTCTTCATCTTTTTTCTCTGGCTCTGGTTGGGTTTTCTCTTCTACAGAATAATATATTATGCAGCAAATATTAACACTTTCATTCACCTATAGGAATTCATATTGAGTATATGTATAAGGAAAATATGCATGCAACTGAAAATACATTTGATGTACTGTCAAGTTAATGTGTGCACTTTCTAAATCTGGACATTGCATGACAAACAATATGACAAGCAGACTTTGAAGGATGCAATTTAAGTGTACACATGTAATTTTAAGACCAAAAGGAATGGGAGGTCAATAATTCAAAATATGCATTATATTCGGTTTCAGGCGACCACATTTTCGCACAATCTCACTGATGGAAAAGAATATAGCATCTAACTTTCCAAAGATTTTCTATGTTGTCTGCAAATATGGTTTTAAGAAAAAAAAACAAATAACAATAAATGACAAATTTAAAACACCTCAATTTAAAACACCTCTATAATGTGAAAATTTAAAGGATTAATGAAGCCCTTTATCAACTTCTCCTCCATGTAAAATAATTACTAACTAAATCACCACTATTTTTTGTTTTATATAAAAATAAACCTTTAGGTTCCTCTTTTTTCACTGGCTCTTCCTTGACCTCTGGCTCTGTATTTTCTTTATTAGGTGTGTTTTCTTTAGTTTCTGATGGAGGATCTTTCTCTACTTTAACATCTTCTTTCTTTTCAGGTTCTGCTTTGACTGTCTTTTTTCCAAAAGGAAGCTTACCAAATAAACTGGAAGGAGATTCATCATAAGGTATACATTTCTTAAGAATTATTTTGGTTGCCTATAAAAGGAAACTGTTCTAATGGAAGCCGGGAGTCATTTGGAATTACCACAGAGAGAGCAAGAACTCCATACCTTTCTGAAGTATCTATTTTCCATTAAAGACATCTAAAGTTTGGTTTAATTTTACTGGTTGATGCAAGAATTTTTATATGCATAATCGTGTTAATTAATATAGAATTCTTTCTTTGGTTTTTAAATTTAAAATAGTGCAAATTTTAAAATTCATAAAAAATCCATTTCTATTTCAGCTTAAAGACAAACTACTTTGAAGGATATTCTGTTGCAATAAATTGTAAGTAGTTTCATGTCAACCGTGTTAAAATTACATACATATTTCTGAAGAAAATGAAATCATTGTGAGTAAAACTGAATATAGACATGTGTATCAAAAATTATCATAAAAGTTATTGTAAGTTATTAAAAGCAGCATTAATATCAATGTTAATGTAGCATTAAATATTTATGATAATTAAAAAAATTATGCTCTTTGGCTGTATGGTAAAAGCAAACACAACTAGCAAATGATTTTAAGAAATTCCCTCTAATTTTGTTCTTATGCCGCACGATTCCAACCAGTAATAATACATGTAGTAGTTATATAATACTAATTTTGGGGAGCAATTTTATTTTCATGAGTAGAAAAATAAAGTGAATATAAATCGTCATGAGTATGTTAAACTTGGGTCTTCCCTTATATATATATATATATATATAAAAAATGAATAAAAATCACGATAATAAATCATTATAGAGTTGGCTAGAAAGGGCTTAACACAAAAATAAGTTTGTTTGCAGTATTCACGCTAATGTACTCATTAGATATATCTCACATGAAATACTTATAACTTAAAGACAACTTTAACCGGAAATAATAGCATGTTCATTAGGATTCAATACACAAATATTACCTAAGACATTAAGTGAACATTGCTCACCAGACCACTCAATGTAAGCCAAGTTTAGATGTGCAAACAATTTTCAAGATATGAATTTAAAAATATAATTACGTCTTTGATTTTTGGTCTTTTGGAGGTGTTTCTTTTTCTTTTTTATCTTTGTTTCCAAACCATGATTTGCCCCCATCATGCTTTCCATCATTGCTTTGTTTCCGTCTATATTGAGAGAAATGTTGATTAAGAATCTGATTATATATGCATTCTTTCCCCTTGTCTTGACCATCAAGATATCATTGTAGGAAATGTTTTTGGATATAATTTGTGAATGAAAAAAAAAAAACAAAAAAACAAACAATGCATTTAAGACTTACTATGGAATTATTTTTGCTGATTTAGAAAAAATTGCATTTTCATAGATTCTTAATTTTCGTGGATTTTACAAATAATGCATAAAATAGGAAATCCTTTATCATTGTACATTATAATTTGTGGATCACCTATACCTACAAAATCACACAAATAAGGATGAATGGTAGCATTTTCCTAATCTTGATGATCTTGACAGGTAATACAAACAATCAGAAGTCAGTCTGTATTTTTACCATGTTAATTTCTATTTTGTAAATACAATAAAAATATCTATGAAGACGTTTAGTTTGACCAAAAGAAAACAGACTGAATTTTGATATATTGTAACAATCTTATGATTACAGAGCTGTTTTCAAAATAAATATTAGCATTGAAAATTCATACACTACAACTTCTATGATAATTATAGTTTTCATAACAAGTGAGAATTTGATATCACTTGATATCAACTTGAGTTATTTAATTTCAATATAATAATAATAAACAAACCTGTGGCTAGTTTATTATTACTATTTGAATTAAATAACGAGAGTTGATATCAAGCAATACCCAATTCTCATGTATTAAACCTATTTCACTTATCGTAAGCATTCTCTTTGTGTTAAATAGAAAAGTCTGTGTCCAGTTGATCTAGTCTTTTGCACATACCAGTATGACACCACATGTACTGTTCCAGTGTTAAACTTCAACATGAGACGTTTTAAAACTTTCTAAACGCTTCAGAATGTCATAAAAATTTGACAAAAATAAGATTTGCAGGTGAAAATTTGTGAGTGTTTTGTATATCATTGAAGAAATCACATATCACCTTTTGCCATGGAGGAAATGCACATCGATTTCTCCTTTGAAAGTCATCAATGACCTAATGAATAGCCAATAGAAATGTGGCAATATAGTTTCCTAATGCTGGATAAGCTTATCAGATTAACCAATTTTTCGTATCACACTCTGTGCAGTGTCATATCTCTTCATGTGAGAAATAGATAAGGTGCCACAACCATAAAAGAAAGTGATTTTCTTATAATTATCATAATTATTGACTACATATCAAGGTAGTCATTTTATACAAAAATTTACAGACTAGGCAAAAAACTTAAAGATTTCACTATGTGAAATGTTAATTTTGTCAAAATTTAGTAGAAAAAACAAACTTATTTGTTTGAAAACAAAAAACTGTCTTTTGATTCAATCAACCTTAAAATTGCTAACTGACAATTTTAATGTTTTTTTCTGTAATATAAGTTTGTTAAATATATGTTATATATCATGCACTAAAGAACTAGTGAATGTAATATTTGTATATCAAACTTTTCTAAGCAATGTAAAGTAATCTGATTAAACCTACTTCTTATTTTTTTAATTCATAAATAACAAAAATAAAAATTTCAGTCTAAAACATGTATAGTTAGAAACACCATTTTATCACTACAATTAACACTAAAAAAAACCAAAAACTAAACATAGACTTTGGTATTTAGACAAACATTAAATTCCTGCAACTCAATAATATCACAATAAAATCAATGAACCTAAACATAATATTATATATCAAATATGATTTCTGTGTATAGCAGTAAGCAGCTTCAATTACAATTTAAAAAAATATGCAGCACTACTCTCGACTTACACAACTTTTTTGCCTTCTTTTGCTTCTTTTATTGTTTCTGTCTTACTTTGAGCTGGCGTTGTCACCTGATCTTTAACGATTGTTGACTTGAAGAAAATATCAATATTGTTATCTGCATCTGATGCATCTTTGTCCTTCTCTACTAAACTTGACGCTGGAGTTGTTGGACGACCTGGACGATGTGTTCTTAGTCTTCTAGGACGATCTTTGCCGAGGTGAGTTAATGGCGCCACTGTATCTAAATCAGGTAGTGATGACAATGGTGGATCAGCCTTCAAGTTTTTAGCTGGAGTTTTAGGTACTACCTTGTCAACAGGTTTAGCTGCTGTCTTGTCTAGAGATTTAGCTACTGGTTTGTCAGCAATTGTTTCTATAATTTTCTCAACAGGTAAAACTGAAATAACAAATACAGGAATGATTTAATCCTCAAGACAATAAAGCCATTTAAAAAAAAAAACTACCAATGTCCTGAAAAATGGGCCACATCAATCTGCTTTTATTTTTACTGATATTTTTTGGAGTAAAAAAAAAATGTATATTTATATTTCATGATTAAGGAAATAGTTTCCCTTACTTTAAGTTTCAATATAATTGTGGTCTTTGTACTAAAGAATTTATCACACATGACTTACCTAGACATACCAGTAGTCACAATATAATTGGTTGTATGGGAATACTATCAAGTAAGTCTTAAATAATTGAACTTTTTAAACATAAACATTTCCAACATATTTTTCCTTATAAAATCAAAATAGAGGCTCTAAAGAAGAGCCTGTGTGGCTCACCTAGGTCTATGAGCATCTTCAACAATGGACTCTCTCCAACATTGAGGACTAGAATAGAATTCATGACAAAAATCTTCTTTTTTTATTGTTGATCTTGCATTGCTGATATTTTTTTCTGTTTACAATTTCTCTCTATTTTCTTTAATTTTTGCCCAAAACACAAAAAGTTTAAAAAAAAAATATCAATTAAGGCAATCACTCCTATAAAAAGTAAATCAACAATTTTGGCAAAATTTTACTTATTTGTAGATCTTGTCTCGCTGATCATTTTTGCTATTGTTAAAAAGTGTCTATCTATCTTTTATAGATTTCAAGATAGTAGGCAAAAACATAAAATATTGGTAAAAATCGTCATTAAAGAGCAAGTACTCCTACAAGGTGTCAACTGATGATTTTGGCTTTTTTGTAGATCAAGCCTTGCTCATCATTTTTGCTTATTTAAGTTTCAATCTATCTATTATAGTTTTTCAGATATTGGACAAAAATGCAAAAAAATGGTAAAAATCATTATTAAAGAGCAATACCTCCAATAAGGGGTCGTCAGACGATTTCAAGATTGAAAACTTATGTGTAGTTCTTGTCTTGCTGATCATTTTTGTTTATTTAAGTTTCTATTTATCTATAATAGTTTTTCAGATCTTAAGCAAAAACACAAAAAAAATGTTAAAGGGCAATAACTCCAATAAGGAGTCGTCTGTCAATTTTGACCATGTGGACTTATTTGTAGATCTTGTGTTGCTGATTTTTTTGGTGTATGTATCTCTCTATCTATTATAGTTTTTCAGATATTAGGCAAACATGAACACATTTGGTAAAATTCGTCATTTAAGGGCAATAACTCCTATAAGAAGTTGTCTGACAGTTTTGAAGAAAACAGACAATAAGTAGATCTCATCATTCTGAACATTTTTGCTTCCGACAGATTTTCTCCATTCATAGCGGTTTTCAAGATTATAGACCAAACTTGCATTTTACCACCTATGCTCTATTTTTAGAAATGTCAGCCATGTTGGTTGGCAGGCAGGGTCATCGAACATAATTTTTAAAATGGATACCCTCATGATGATTGTGCCAAGTTTGGTTAAATTTGGCCAATAGTTTAAGAGGAGAAGATTTTTGTAAAAGATAATGACGACGACAACGGGCGCTGGATGCAAAGTGATGATAAAGGCTCACTTGGCCTTTTAGGCCAGGTGAGTTTAAAACTAGATTTCTATTTCTTTGACATTTAAATGTGTTTTTTTAATTTGATTGAAAAGCAGAAAATGTATAAGTACAAACCATCTAAGTCTGGGACTTTTGTAAGGTCTTCCTGCGAACCAACTGAAATAATCAGAAAAAATTACTTTAAAATTCCATATCAACATTTGTTTTCAAAACAATGCTGAAAATGTCAGTTATCAATATTTCACTTCTTAGAATTAAAGCAATTTTGCAGGGTTTCTTTTGTGCATATAAGCTATGTGAAGATGAGGATTACAAACTAAATAAGTGCATATAAAAAGCAACATATGTCCATTACCGTATGATTTAATTATCACCAAAATTTAAAGCTAAAATGCCAGCAAAATCTGAATTAACAGTAATAATATATTAACAGCAAGACAACAGTTTAACTACTTTTGGACATTTTTAATGAATTATGTTTAGAAATTCCACATATATTTACTAAAAAAGATATAAAATCATACAACACTGCCAAGTTATCAACAGAATTGACAATAATGAAATGTCAAAACACAAAGTTGTTTATCAAACATAATTAACTTCACATGTTTTTAAGTGAAACTGGCTTCAGAAACAACTAGTCAATCCTGTATATAAAGGTCACCCTTAGGACCAGAGAAATCTGACCTTATTAGAGATGTAACCTTTGATTTGAGATTCAAAATGCATAGGTATCACTACAGTGGTACAATAAGATGGTGACCTGTCAGTACAGTTTTCTGCTTAATAGAGATGACTTTTATAGCAATTTTGACTGTACTGTAAACTCAGAAATTATTGCATGCATTTATTACTGCAATTTTTGAAGAATTGGCTAAAATGCGAAATTAATTATTGCGATTTTAGGAAAAGCTTAATCCAGATATATATGTATCAGATATCATATAGGGAGTTATCATTATTGCTATACTCACACAGATAGGGAGTTATCATTATTGCTATACTCACACAGATAGGGAGTTATCATTACTGCTATACTCACACAGATAGGGAGTTATCATTATTGCTATACTCACACAGATAGGGAGTTATCATTATTGCTATACTCACACAGATAGGGAGTTATCATTATTGCTATACTCACACAGATAGGGAGTTATCATTATTGCTATACTCACACAGATAGGGAGTTATCATTATTGCTATACTCACACAGATAGGGAGTTATCATTATTGCTATACTCACACAGATAGGGAGTTATCATTATTGCTATACTCACACAGAAAGGGAGTTATCATTATTGCTATACTCACACAGATAGGGAGTTATCATTATTGCTATACTCACACAGATAGGGAGTTATCATTATTGCTATACTCACATAGGCTCATTATAGGCATTAATAAAACCTTGCAATAATTTCTGAATTTACAGTATACAAATATGGTATCTATCTGCAAGATTAAGGTGGTACCCAACACCTTGACTAATATTAATTTGGCTCGTTTAATTTTCATAAAATTTTGACAAAATGTTTACTTTGACCCTTTGACAAAAATATAAAAATTTCAAAAAATTTGAACCAACCACTTTATCAGAAAAATTTCATTGGTTATATAGCAGTTTGACAAACACTAATTTTGATCATTGAGAAGCTTAATATTTCCTTTACAATACAACGTTATTAAAACGTTTAGCTGATTTTTACAGAGTTATCTCCCTGTAGTGTTAGGTACCACCTTAATATAAAAAAAGTACAACATTAATTTGAGATTTCATGGAGTTTTAAAGTTGAAATTAGAATTAAGATGTCAAGCTTCTTCAAAAAAGAAATAAACTGAAAATTAGCAGCTAGTTGTAAGCAAGTGAAAAGTTATTTGTTAACATTTCATATAGATCAGTGATATTCTTATTGTAATAAGTGAAAATATTAAACTGTACTCACAAAATAATTATTTACTCATACTTGAATATCAATAGATTTAACATACAATAACCTACCAGTATGTAACTGCCTATTCTCTGATATGAAAATGATTCATTTACAAAAGATAATCAGTAACATAGAAACATTTATTATCTGGGGAAAAAAATTTGAATTTGTTTTCAAATTAAAAACGTAAAACTAAATTTACCTTTTGAAAATTTACCTATTATAGTCAGATATTCTATAATAAGTTTTCAATGTGGTATTAATTGTCTCTGACGTGATGGAACATTAAAACAAATCTTATTAATTTTGGACTTTTGTAATTTTATTCTTCCTTAGAGTTTAGTAAGATGAGTTCAGACATCTTGAATATATTTCTTCCTCTTTTTACTTTAAAATAAAACAGGTAATTTCTATACACTGAGCATGCAGGTCAGTTTTATTTTCTGACCAATACCTTTCTTCCCATTCCTCTGCTCCACTTTTTTCGTTTCTTTGGCATCTTTTACTGTTGTCATGGCAATATCATGAACATTTGAGGTAGAAGGTGGGACATCAGGAGAAGGTGAGGGTGTGGTGTCAGGATTTACACTGTTGTAAACTTCTAAAGCTTTTATTACGTGCTCTGCTTCTACGGAGGAATCAAGCAAGGTTAGCTAAAGCATGACACTACAAAGTGTTCAAAACTCAGAGTTAATATACTCCCTACACCGCAGCTGATATCAACTCTGAGTAATGACAAAGATTTTAATAAAGAGTTCTAAGTTTGGTATGGTCAGTATAGTCAAGTTGGTTTAAACAATTATTTCATAGAAAACTAATTATTACAATATATTTCATTTTCTTACAGACAAAAAATATGCATATTCAAATTTGTATCGGATTCTGTTTGAAGTTTCAAAATCATGCAGCATTGCTTTCATTTTGTTAATACCGAAGATAATTAAGTGTAAAGGCAAAGAAACCTATGACCATACCAACTTTGTTTTGATAGCTTGAATCCTATAGATCTAGCAATAACTAATGTTTTATATTGTGCAGAAAGCATCATGTGAGAATCATTTTGATGAATGAAATATACATATATATATGTGTACTTGAAAACCTTTTTTTCAATTAAAATTGGGTCTGACATTTCTTTTGTGACACAAGCCGTAAGCATGTGCTGTAATTTTATAGCCTCAATAGCATGTGGAAGACATGGTGCCCAAGACATTTTCCCCCATTAGTTCTAATAACATAGCCTCTGGTCAATAATAAATTCAAAGATCAGGAAAAAACAACTGTTGTTCTTAAATAAACTGTTAACACAGAGATATGTCTCGCCTTTTTGTAATTTTGATAGTGCAAATGTTGAAATTAAAATAGCAATACTTTAACATGAAAGTTATGCAAATAATCAAAGTTAATGAACCTTGACTTTAGCTACAGGGCTAAACAATCTCCATAGAAATGAGATGTGCCAGTGCTAATAAAACTGCATACTAAATACCATTGACTTATCATAAGTCATTCCCTTTAAACAAACCTAAACACAAACATTAACTTGTAAACTATGTAAAAGTTTCAAAGTCAATGAACCATGATGAGGGGGTGGGGCTATATAATCTCCATGGAAACGAGACTTGCAAATGCCAATAAATTTGAATACCAAATATCATTGACTTAACATTAGCGGTTCATCTTAAACTGATCTAATCACAAACTAATGCATATGTAAACTAAGTAAAAGTTTAAAAGTCAATAGACCATGACTGAGGGGGTGGGGCCAAATATTCTCCATGGAAATGAGATGTGCTAATGCATTGGCCTACCACTAATGGTTCCCCTTGAACTGACCTTATCACAAACTAATACATGTAAACTAAGCAAAAAATTCAAAGTCAATAGACCATGACTGAGGGGGCAGAGCCAAAAAATCTCCATGGAAATGAGATATGCCAATGCTAATACAACTGCATACCAAATTTCATTGACCTACCAATAGTGGTTCCCCATAAACTGACCTAATCACAAACTTATACATGTAAACTAAGCAAAAGTCAATAGTCAATAGACCATGACTGAGGGGGCAGGGCCAAAAATTCTCCGTGGATGAGATGTGCCAATGCTAATACAACTGCATACCTAATATCATTGACCTACCAATAGTGGTTCCCCATAAACTAGACCTAATCACAAACTAATACATTGTTGACGCCACCACAACCGCTGGAAACAGCATACCTATGTCTCGCTTTTTGACTCTGTCAAGGCGAGACAAAAACTACTAATTCTAATATTGTATACTTTTAAGTGAAATAAATGAAATGCTTTGTGCACATTTATAGCTGAAACAATAGACATTTATTGGTTATTTTGAAAAGATATAAACAATCTAAAACTCATGACAATTAGTCAACTAGCAACTAAGGGAAACATTTCAAAGAGTTTAGGCAGTGAAACCTTTCTAAGTCAAACCATGAGTTATCTCAGTAAATCCAGTCTTTTGGATCTAGTGTAAAATGATCTAAACTTTATGGAGGTTAATTCGAGAAAGGTTTCCCTGTATAAAGAATACATCTTGGAAGAGAATCCCTTCTTTTTGAAGGTTTAATTCTAGAAGGGTTTCGCTATACAGAATAGATCTTGAAAGATGATCTCTACTTTATGAAGGTTAATTCTAGAAAGATTTCACTGTATAAAGAACAGATCTTGGAAGATGAGCCTTACTTTAAAACTTAATGAGGCTGTTATATCAAAGAGCATGTAATGTTAGTATTTTTCTGTCTTTCCAGGAACTGAGGTCTTTTCTAAACCCACTGAATGAAATTTTCTTGTTTCAAGATTTTTAACAATTTTTATGTGAATCATTTAATACAAAAATTTGTTAAAACAAACTGAAAAACAAATCACGTACTTGAGTTAAAAAAACATCAGATGTTTTGCTCTCTTTTCTGACTGTTTTTACCCAATATTTAACTAAAACATCCCAAATTCTTACCAATTACAGTTGGTGGTCTTTGTCTTCTGTTATTGACAGTTTTTCTCTTTGATGCAATATTTGGTGTCTCCTGCAAAACAAATAAATACCCTTATTGGTGTCAGTACAATTGATCATTTCAGACTAAAATTATAAATCAAATCAAAATCTAAACAGTTATTTCCCAAATTCATTTTCAAACTCTTCTTTAGAAATATGACAATTTATTTAATTAATTTTTAATTAAAAAATTGGATGCAAAATCTATTTCAACTTCAACTAATCTCTAAAACATTAAAGAATCTTATAATTTCAGAAAAACAAATTCAGGTATTAAACAGTTTGGTTTGCAAAGGATTACAAAAAATAACTAAGGAATGTCAAGCTAAAATTCTTAAAATAAAATATAAAAAGCCATAAATTCAGCGGAACATAAGAATAAATTCAATAAAAATACTATTCTGAAAATTGAAAGGTAAAAAACTAAATAGAAATGACCAGTTACTCTCATATATCTTCCTGTTTCTAAGACTCACAAAAATTTTATATTCCAAGACATGATATGCCTTTCTATATTTTAATGTTTACTTTTAGATAAATTTTATACTAGATTAATTTTTCTTTAAATGTATGATTTACATAATATATTTCATAATATATCTGAACTTATTATCCTTAATGTATAGTTTAGATATACACGATCCTGTTCAGTATGAAAACAAAAAAAAAACAATGTTAAAGGTACAGGGTTATCATGGTGCAATATGTTTGGTCAGAGTTTAAAGGTTACTCATTGCAAATTTGTTTCTCTTTAATTCTTCTGTGCCACAAATGTGAAAACTGTTATTCTTTTTTCATGATAAAGTTCCATGCCTTATACCAGTTTTTGCATGAGCACATAGAACATAAGATAACTAGAAGCATTCTCAAGTTGAATAGTTAGGAATTATAAAACATTAATACATTTCCTTATGAAACTAATAAGCACAAATCTTAAATGTGTAATAAATAAGTAACAGCTAAGCCAGGAGTGCATGATATGTCTGTCCTCTTTGTCAAAACCTTTTTCTAATGACAAAAAAACCCATATAAATCATAAGGACAAAAAGAGAGAATTGTCAAAATCATAAGGAAAAGCTATTTAACAGTTATAGTTCGAAAAAAAATTGGTGAAAAAAGTCAACAAAATCAAATTTTTGTATGATACTGATGACAAAAGGTCTATTTTTTCAGTCAAAAGCTCGTTACTATTAGTCCTTAGATCATTTCACAACAATCTGTTTAAGCTAACCAGTTATCATATGGCATTGAAAAATTCTTATTCATGACAGAACTGAAGATTACAATTAATGTAAGATATGTCTTGCCTGTGTAACATGTAAACTTTGCAAAGTTTCAAGGTCAATGGACCATAATTAAGGGAGCAGGGCCAAATAATCTTCATGGAAATGGAATGAAAACTTACTCTTCTTAGATAATTCAATAATTATTTTATGTCATTTGATGGTTTTGTGTACATCATAGAATATCTCTGTTGTTGACAGGCATGTTTAAAATTGCAATGATTTTCACAAATCTAACTACAGGACTACTAAAGTGTCTACATCTTGTAATTCAAATTGCAACATATTGGAAGGACTTTTATTTCATGTGTAGTGGTTTTGACAAAATTTAGTCAATGCACCACCACATCGACCTCCCTCCCCCCCCCCCCCCCCAACTCTAAATGCTGTCATCTATAATCAATGAGCACCACAGCACCCCCACATTAAATAGTGTCATCTATAATCAGTGAGCACACCACACACCCCCACTCTGGCCTCATCTATAATCAGTGAGCACCCCCACACACCCACTATAAATGGTGTCATCTGTAATCAGTGAGCACACCATACCCCCCCACTCTGGTGTCATCTATAATCAGTGAGCACCCCCACACCCCCACTATAAATGGTGTCATCTGTAATCAGTGAGCACACCACACACCCCCACTCTGGTGTCATCTATAATCAGTGTGCACCCCTACACACCAACTATAAATGGTGTCATCTATAATAAGTGAGTATTTCTATATATGGGTTAGAAATGATAACTAAACTGTAAGGATAGTTATGTAACACTGTAATAATTAATTACTATATCATACACTTACGACAGGTGTAGAGAAAAATAAAGTCAGACCAGGTGAAGACTGAATCATGCAATGAAATAAAATGAGACAGAAATAAAAGAAGTCTTCTTAACATACATTATAAAATAAATAACAAAAATACAACATTCTAAATGAGAACTTGGCTTTTTCAGAAAAGAAAAAATAAAGTTTAAGTTCATATGGTATATAAATGTAGAACATATCCTATACTTATGTAATACAAGTTCATACATATTCATAAATTTTCATTCAAAGATTTTTTTTCTTTTCATACAAAAGAATATTCTTTCTTAAGCTTTGTATACTGATAACTTACTCCAGTATTCTTCTTGGGGATTTGCTGTCACATAATATAAATTTACATTTTTGAAAATATTTTGAGTACTGAGATTTTATCTTATTCTGAGCATTTTACCAACATAAAAATATATATTACATACATAGATCTTGTTAACCATTCTTAAGTTAAAAATTATCTGAGTGAAGCTCTGGATATAAATATTAATTATGGTGGATCATCGGCATATATTTCCTCAGATAGAAGTTTCTTATACTTTGCCAAAATGTAGATTTTGACATGCTTTTCTCAAAAATATAATAAAAGTATGGGTCACCGTGCTATTTTTCAAGCTACCAGTTGAACAAAATTGCATAGATTATTCATAAAAAACACTTTTTGTGAATAAAAAAGAAATCTATGAGATAGAATTTTGAAATAAAATATGAGAAAATAGGATTTATAATATGCTTTAAGAAAATAAAAACCAAAAAAGGTGCCACCGAACTTGTTTTCTTGCTACAATTAAAAGAGGAAAATTTAACATTCATTACAAAAATTTGACCATTAGAGTTATTTCCCCTTAAATGGCTAAGTTGAAAAATTGATTCGGATAAAAAAAACAAATATGTGGTGTTTGTTAAAACAGTCTGAATAATGCAATACATCACTTATTTTTCTATATTCAAATAAACAGTCTACACATTAATTGCAAATCTGACTCAAAATTTGCAGATTTAAGCAAAGAGCTAGACCGATTGTGTACTGCTATTTTACAATCCAAGATGGCGGTATACAGTTATTCTACCTGAATCTTAATTTGATCTGTTAGATGTAACAGATGTTTGATTAAAAAGCATCACGATGCATTAAAGTTTATTCATGCTAGAGTTGTTTTGTTTATCATACCTTATTTGGTCGCATCTTAAAACAAGAACAGAAAATACACATAATCAACGAGAATGGATCTCTATAACCTAGAAGTAGATGCTTTCTGATTTTCTACTTGGACACTTTTGAATGTCAACCATATACTGTCAATTATTACAGACTGTATGTTGCCCTTTAGAGGTATTTTGATTATTTTTTTCATTGGGTTGCTGTCTCATTGACATTCCACCCACATCTCCTTTTTTATTCATACATTTAAAAATTTGTATTAATATTCTGTGTAACTTTATTTTCTTAATTCCTCATAATTTGTGATTCATATGTAATTATTAAAAGTTTATATGTCAATGACTTAAATATTGAAATCTTTGAAATATTGTAAAAATTTGCATTAACTACACACACAGTTAGGTACATTCTATTTTATGAACCCTAATAGAAAACAACAGTTAATTCTAATGCAAATCACTGCCTAGAAGATAAAAGTTATATTTAATACCTAATTCAATACATACACACACACACACACTAATCTATCCTAATAATTTTGAACAGTTAAGTAACTAAAAAAGATAGTGTTCTACTCTTACGCCACAGGAAGGCTGACACTTTTAACATCTGCCGAGGTTGTCGGTGACAAAGAGCTAGGACAATTTAACCATTTAAAAAAAAGTTAAAACAACCCAATATGACAAGACCACATGGTAAATTCATTAAAGGGTATACCATATAAATATACATTGTAGAAGGATTACATTCTGAAAAATCCAGAACTTAAAAAAGGAAGAAGTTTAATCTTTTTCCTTGTAGTTTTTCTGTGAACAGTAAATTATGCCTCCAGCAAAATATTCTAAGCCCAGCCTATGAGTGTCATGTAAATTTCAAAGGACCAATCCTAAACCCCCAGCAATGTTATTCAAGACTTACAGCAGGAGAACTGTCAGAAGATTTGGAATCCATTGATTTTAGATCATCTGTACTGTCTTTCTCCTGCTTGTCTCCCTTCTCTATCTCCTTTATCTCTTCTTTCTTTACTGGCCTTCCTTGCTTACTCTTTTCTAGGTTCAAATGATTTGTCTAAAAGTATCAATAAATACCAGTAAAATAAGTATTTCATTTCTTTTATATTATAACATAGGTTTATACAACTATACATTCTTGATGAAAGGAATTGGAGTGTAAACATAAATAAACTGAAGCTTTGGATTAGAATTAATTTCTAAACTGATTACTAATGATTACATGAATTTTGAATAAGTGTAAAAACCAAATACAAATTTATCTATTGTCATTTAGTAGCTTTCAGAAAGTTTGCTTCTCATAATGATGCTTGAATAATTCCAAAATTAGAAAACCAGAAAAAATCTTTTAAACTGCACAATTATTTTTGTATGTATGAGGGAGTTCACTTTCTATACATCTAAACAATGTCAAGACATTCATTACTGTGGATTTATTAATATTCGTTGGATACCAATTTTCGTGGATTTCGTGGATCCAGGGGAACCACGAATTTAAATGTTCAACGAATTACAAATTTTCTGAAGGAATGTATGCAGACTTTTTCAAAACAACGAAATTAAAGATCCACAAAAATGCAAGTTTTCCTCAATCCACGAAAATTGGTACCGACGAAATAAAATGAATCCACAGTATTATTTGTGTATCAAACAGTAGTACACAATATACCACATACTTTAGCAAGTGATACAGAAACTCAATCACTTACATATAAATCTAGTACAGGTCAACACTTCAAATGACATTAACTATATTCATTAACAGTAGAGCTATGCCTGGATTAATTTGTATAATTGGTTGTTTACCAGTTACATAGACCATTCAGTCCCCATTTGTTTTCTACAGATATAGATAGTTAACAAAGCAGGTTTTACAATTAAGTTACTTGTTTAATAATTCATTACCAGTTTTTTATGACTCGATGATAAGTTTTCTATCACAGCATCTATAACTCTATCTGATATATGGGCTGCTACTGCAAGGTTCAGTTCACTGGAAATAATTGTAATCAAACATTTTAGATATGATATGAATAAACTAATATATAACATTTTCATTATTGACCCTGGTATATCACAATTTTAACTTTTTTTGTCATTTATTTTGGTTTTTTCATTTTTGTTCTTTATTGATTTCTTATTTTCACTACCTGTCACTTTTCCCTGCCTCAAAAAATAGAAGAAAAATGTTGAGTATAAAACATAAATCTGCTGCAATCTTGCACTACATTAGTGATAATAAGTTGCAACAGTTGGCAACACAAACATTTAATTGATATAAAAGATTTATTTACAAAACTATAATTAAGATCAAACATTTTGATGTAAACTAAAGTACTTTCTTTTGTTACCTATTCTGACATCGGGCTCAGATTTCTTTTAAACTGAGTTTTACTGTGCGTATTGCTATGGGTTTCTTTATTCTACATCGGCTAGAGGTATAGGGGGAGGGTTGAGATCTCACAAAACATGTTTAACCCCGCCGCATTTTTGCGCCTGTCCCAAGTCAGGAGCCTCTGGCCTTTGTTAGTCTTGTATGTTTTTTTTAATTTTAGTTCCTTTACATGTTTTGGAGTTTAGTGTGACGTCCATTTTCACTGAACCAGTACACAATTTTATTTAGGGGACAGCTGAGGACCACCTCCGGGTGCGGGATTTTCTCGCTGCGTTGAAGACCCATTGGTGGCCTTCGGCTGTTATCTTCTCTTTGGTCGAGTTGTTGTCTCTTTGACATATTCCCCATTTTCATTCTCAATTTTATTTTAAAGGACTTCGCCAAGCTTATGTCAGTAACATACTTTTAACGAATTTTGAAAATTCAAGTAGTTAAAATATTCAAATGTAATATTTGTAAAATGTTATAAAAGCACTTCATTTACAGTACATAAATAGAAAATATTAAAATTTAAGCTAAATATCTTTTTTTTTAAATTGAATGAAATATTATCTCCTTCCAAGATAGCTTAGAATAGGTTTGAAAATCATCTCTTCACTTATAAATTGTTTACCTAATTTTATTAAAAACATCCATTTCTATAACATTTAATGTGTGTGTGGCAAAGTCTTCTGGTAAACTGCTCTTCTTGTAACATCCACTATTTAATTCTGTGGAAAATTCCTGCAAGAAATCAAAACGTAGCTTGATTATCTAATAATTAAGTTATAACAATTTTTTTACACAAATCATCAACTCTTTATTGTTTTATATTCATTGTACGAACGGGTTTAAACATTTTGGTGTTTAATGTCTATCATCAGAATATCTTAGTAATTCTATTATATGTATACATTGGAAGGGTCAATTCAATTTGGCAATCCAAAAGTCCATTAATTCTGGTAATACATTAACAATTAAGCATATTCCTTTAAAACATACTCAATACTTATGGAAGGCACTTCAAAATATTTCTTTTCACTTAAAAATATTTCTTTTCCAGTCATTATTGACCTCAAACTCTAATTCAGAATTAATATATTTACATAGTCAAACCTGCCTTAACGTTCACCTCGTTTCAGCGGTCACCTGCCTCTAACGGTCACTTTCAGACCCTCCCAAACATTTTCTCTATATAATATAACTCAAATCAGCGGTCACCTGTCTAACGCGTTCAGCGGTCACCTATTTGTTGCGCGAAATCTTCATTTCAACTTTTAACAACGGTCATTTTAATGTTTTTAACTACAGAAATAATCATGTTCAGTTTCATAGTCAAAATGAAAATCGGAACCCATTTGCAACCGAGATTCTGCAATAGGAGGTGAATTCGTGAATTTCTCGTGTTCCACTCCTTTCTGTTTACATTGAAAACGGTATCACCTACTTATTCTCCACGAATACTAATATATTTTGAATGTTTTCTTCATGTTTACAGCGCTGGAATCTGCCATTTTTTATTCAATGACGCAAGAACCATAACTCTTGGGATTAAAAAGTCTAAAATAGTTTGCCCGGATCCCGACCATAGGCGATCTCGGATCCAAAATTGTTTTCAAAACCTCAATTTCAAAGGTCACCTCTCTTGAGCGATCACTAATGAAACTTCCCAAGAGTGACTGCTGAATACAGGTTTGACTGTATATGATATCTTACCTTATCTTTGGTTATGGCAGTAAATTGTTTGGTTGTACACTGTATATGATATCTTACCTTATCTTTGGTTATGGCAGTAAATTGTTTGGTTGTACACTGTATATGATATCTTACCTTATCTTTGGTTATGGCAGTAAATTGTTTGGTTGTACACTGTATATGATATCTTACCTTATCTTTGGTTATGGCAGTAAATTGTTTGGTTGTGCATTCTAACATGTCTTCAACTGTTTTCTGTAAATAATGAAGAAGACAGATTTAATGTAAAATGAATTTATATAATAATATTAAACAGACAGAGGTAATCTTTCAACAACATATAAATATAAAATGCCTAGAAAATCAACCTAACAATGTTAGAGTAGATCTGATTCTTTACTTCCTCCCCGACCGGGGCTGGAACCTGTACTTTTCACCTCATACTTCTACAACAACACCGCCTAGCATTGCGCAGACCCTTATCCCCTCCTCTAACTATAGCTGATAAATCCGATGGACAAGGTATAATTCATAATTTACAGTTGTCAACACACATAGGCAGGCATGTATATATATATCTTGTAGAAGCTTTTTGTGTTAGATCAATATTCAGAACTTAATAAACCATGTGTCATGTCTGGGCCTTTTATAGCTGACTTTATGGAATGGTTTTTATCATGGCTGAAGGCCGTATTGTGACCTACAACTATTAACATACACATCATTCTGAAATCTGGTGGATAGTTGTCTCATTGGCAATCATACCACATCTCCTTATTTTTATATTTATACCTAAGTACATATACAAACCTTCATTTGATTATCAAGAACTTTCTTCAAGTCATCTGACAGTTCCTTGAGACGTTTACCTACAGGGTTATCTTCCCCAGTCGATTTATCAGCTACATCTTGTAACTGTGGCAGAAGCTAAAAACAAAATATTCATCTTTGTTATTATTCATTCAATAGTTATTACTAAACATGAACTGTATATATTTTCTAATTGATATTATATGGAAATTTTTAGAAATTTCACAAAATGTCAAACTGTAAGGTGTTGAAACTAGGAATTTATAACATATTAAAGAAAAAAAAGCAGAGGTCAGTTTAATCTTTATAGATAAAAAAACAGACTGAAGCAACTTTAATCAGAGTACACAATATTTACTTTCGTTATACCTTAAAATAATCTATACATAAATATAGTCCAAATGTGCACTTAAATAAAAACTAAATATTGAAGTTCTCTTTGGATCTGAAGATAGTTATTATTTAATTGTAAATAGATTAGTAATTATCTTACAAGTTGTGAAGTGTTGGCATCTTTAACAAAGCCATTAGCCACATCTATGTCTTGTTTATAATCGTCAACTGATGGGGTCATCTGTAAAGCATTTACTGTGTCCTGGACTTGTACAACCAATCTGTCAACCATCTAAAATACAATTTATCTACACTTAGTGAGATCGTAATCAAATGTGTCAGTAATGTTGTTGTAATCTAATGTGTCACTAATATAATTGCAATCTAATCAATGTGTCAGTAATTTATTTGTAATAAAAAATGTCAGTAATGTAATTTGATGTGTCAGTAATGTTATTGTAATCAAACATGTCAGTAATATAATTCAATGTGTCAGTAATGTTATTGTACTCAAACATGTCAGTAATGTTATTGCAATCAAATGTGTCAGTAATATTATTATCATCAAAATAAAACATTGCGAGAAAGATGTAAGTATAAAGTAAGTCCAGTAACAGCTTTGAGTAATTGTAATTTAAGATATATTTTCAATATATGTGACATATATCTCTTTATCACATATTTGTTACAAAAACATTGGGTTTTGCATATGCAATAACCGCAGATTTGCCCTAGTCATATTCTTGCCCGGGGCAAATAACCAGTTATTCTGCCCTGCTGTGACGTCATAAGCAGTTATTGTGCCCTGTTATGACGTCATAAGCTTTCGGAAACAACAATAACGGATGGGGAATGTCGATTAAACTGACTGAGGAATTTGTTAAAGAAATAAAGAACACTAATACTAAAAGAAAATCTGACATTGACATTATAATATCCAAGGACTATAAACTTAAACGGTTGGGGAGCTTCGTAATAATGAAGTTATATCAATGAAGGACAAAACATGTATGATCTTGCCAGGTGGATTTTAAATAAGATTCTTTTATACTTTTTTAAGCATTTATATAATATGTGATAAATGGATGATAACATGTCCTTTTCCATATGGGCCCTGGTATCACCCCTTGACCTATATGAGCCCTCGGCTGGCGCCTTGGGCTGATATGGGAGTCTCGGGATGATACCAAGGCCAATATGGAAAAGGACATGTTATAATCTATAATTACTTACTTGTTAAAAGTGTTTCATTATTTGCATACTGTTCTGGCTTATTCAAGCTCTTTGCATGATGGAAATGTTGTAAAGAGTTTTAATAGATAAAAAATAGATAATCAGATCTCCCTTACCAACTCAAAACCTATCTTAATCAGATCTCCCTTACCAACTCAAAACCTACCTAAAAAATCCTTTTTATTTCCAAAGTTTAGGCTTGAAGTTATTCTTGTTGGTTCACATTTTTTCATTTTTATTATGTATCTCCTATATATGAAAATATAGAAGGGCTTCTTATTTAATTTTTTTTTTAAAAATGATTTGACTAATTTAAACCAGTTTTCCTCAGTGAGGTAATTATTATTTGTTCTTGCTTGGTGGTTTTTATGAATAATGCATTCAATGCCAAAGAAAATTTGCATTTGTTGAACAGTTGAATTTTGTGGTTAACCCTATACTCACAAAATGATAAAAATTAGTATTCTTCAGATTATAATGAATCAAAAATAATTCATTTCTTGGTACATATTTGCATTCCTACCTGTTGTGTAGAGCTGAGATAACACCCTTGTATCTTATAATCCCTATTAACCAAGTATTTCTGTGGACTGTGGTTCCTTTGTAACAGTGCCTCAATCTACAATTATAATATAATACAAATGACACATACACATACATGTATGAAACATACATCAAATATTTTCAGTGTAAATTTTTTGGAAGTTGGTTTCATTTGAAACATATTATTGTTGCATATTTGTACAAAGAATCAATTTTATAAATGATTTTCCTGTTTTAAATGTACCCAGAATGCTGTAAATCTTAAACTCTGCAAAGAAAAAACAAATTGTATAACATATAACAAATCCAAATTACTTTGAAAACAGAAAAGTATGCAAGTTATCCTAGCATAGATAACTATAGACCAGCCTATTTCCCCCAAACATAATGTGCTGAGATAGAACCTACCCTCTGTATAGCTGCTTCTGTCTTCTCAGGATTTCTTTGTTGAGCCAGAACCATATCATTTACTGGGGTAGGCATTTTCTTCATTGTGAAATTCCTTCAAAACAAAGATTAATGATTCATAAATAAGTCTTACCATTTAAGCATGCATTTTAACATTCAATAAGAGATAATCAAAATCTATCTTGTTTTTTGCGCCTCCATATAGTTCATAAAGAAAGTCCCGTTGTATATTTTAATTTTAATTTATGTAGCCATCCCGCCCACCAAATATTCTACTCTGTTCAAGGTAAAATTTTCAAAAAGAAGGCTTTGCATGGTGGTTTTATCTAAACCAAAATAAAATAGAATTATATTTTTTTCTTACTTTTCCAATGTATAAATATATAACTTTCTAAGATTCTAACATAGAAGTATAATACAGTCACAATGACCTACTTTTCTAAAGCATCGGCTACATCTTCAAAGCCTTGTGAAGTGACACCATTCTTGTCCCAGATAATGGTCTTTAGTTTGTTGTTTATCTGTAAAGCTTTACTTAACATTCTAGCACCAAAATCTCCCATCTGATTCCCACTGTAATTAAAAATCATTTTACAATTTAGTTGGAAATCTGATATATACAGACAGCATACAAGAGCAGGTCTCTGAAAATTTACATAAATTTTATATGTAAGGCTTGCAAACAGAGTATATTTTCTAATTTCTATTACCAATAAAAAAAACATTAGAATCGATGTAAAGCTTAATTTTGGTATATACAAAGCATTTTTCATCTTTATAATGATATGACAATTTTTTGGGGACTGTTTTTTTTGTATTTCAAATCCTGTAAATACTAAATAATACTTTGCATATTCATTAAAATAAGTTGTGTGACTTACTAATCAATTTAAATTGAAGCTAATATTTCTAGTAATGCTAAGATTTTAACTAGTATGAATCAAATTGCCTGCTTAAAGCACCTGGTATGAAATTATTTTATCAACCTGTATATTGAGTGAGGGGGCTGAATAACACAGATATTAATTTTACATCTGCTTTCCTACCAAACATAGTGAAGATTGTTTGAACATAGTTAAATTCCAGTTTGTGTCCACTTCATGATGTTCTAGTTAAGTGCCAAATACTGACTATTGTTAAAATGCTTTACTCACCTAATATCAAGTTCTGTAAGAGACCCATTACTCCCTAAAGCATTGATCACCAGTGATATATGATGTTTTAGTTTGGAGTCAGCCAGAGACAGAGATTCCAAATCCTACAAATTATATTATTTTGTACACATTAACTTTGAAGATGAACTGTGATATAGAATGTTACTTCAATGAGTACCAACTGCTAATGACAACAAATTGCAATTTTAATTGATTTTTTTGTTTTTAAAATTTGCATCTATTTTCTGTGAAACCAATATTCATATACAGAGGATTTTAGACCAACCACAACATACTACAATGTTACACATTGAAATAAAACATATTTTACAGCAAAGTATTTCTCTTACTCAACTCATTCAAACTTGAGTCAAAGATAAACCTTCTTTGGAGTCTCATCGTCTTTCAATCTTAATTGACAAGGATTGCCAGTTTTCCTGCCAAAGGTTGTGGTTCTCTCAATCAATAAAAATTGGCTGCCATAAGATAGCAAATAGTCCTGAAAGTGGCGCTTACCACCAGCAATCAATAAATAAATAGGCTATTTACTTAAAATTGCCATTGTTTAGTTACACGTACAGCTTAATGGTTGATTTGATCCATCATGAACTAGAAATAGACAATCTCTCTTCTACTGTCATTGAAGAAAACTTTTAATACAAGATTGTAAATACTTGTATAAACTTTATTTTTACTTACACAATCTTCATCCTGTATTAGTTGTACTATTCCATCTAATACAGTTGGTAATTGTCTGAAAATACAACCATTTCAAACATGTAGAAAATCTAAAAATCCAATTACTGTTTTCTTTTAATAACTATGGTATACTTTCTTCATTAATGTTTAATAGTGATGATTATTATAACCAGCTCTTTATTTCAGTAATTTAAACTTTACATTCTATTTGTATTTGTTCTTTAAAAAGTTGCCTCTTATGTCTCAAAGTTACATCTTGATACTGGTGGGAACACACTCTTATTATACTATAATTAAATAATATAAAACCAATAAATTTACAGATATGTGCCAATTAAAGTAAATTAAACTGAGCAAGGTTTAAATTCAATTCAACTTCTATAATTCTATTCTAGTTAATTCAGGTGATCTCTACATCTTAGTAAGGACATCTGAAACAATCAGTAGTATCTAAAACAATGATATACCATAATGCATCTCTATTGGTACATTGTACAGTTACTGTTGCATTATTGTTTCCTTCAGAGTGCCTAAAGCACATAGCAATCATTATGGTCATATCTAAGAGCTTTTCTAGGAAAAACTTATCTATGGGTGTTTACACTACTATTTAAATATTTAATATTTGTGTAGCTGTTGGGGTAGTTTATATGCAATAAAGTTTAAATTAATAAGCTATTCCTGAGGGGGGTCAGAAGAAATTGATACCAAGACCACTGTAGAAATTTGTTTGAACAGTGCTATAAATGAATAGAAACTTGTGCTTACTTTTGTTTTACATGTTCAAAGTTTCTGCCTATTGACAAACGTTTTAAACTTTTGTTTGTTTTTATCCATGGTAACAGTGTTGCCAATCCTTGGTCTAAATCTACAAAAAAAGATATAAATAATCATCATTAAACAATAATATGCCATAAATCTGTAGCATTTATTTTTGCCCTGTAATATTTACTTGAAAAGAGAACATAAAAATTTCTAGATAGAAATTCTAGCTTTTAATGTACCTTGCATCAATGTTCCATCTCTTGTTTGTATACTTCACATTAATGGTTATATAATATGAACATCAAGATGAAGAACAACACAACAATGTACTGGTCTTCTGATTTATATATCATCACTTCATCTTTAATTTACTATGATTAGAAATTCTCAAACTATACTGTATATTTAAACATTCTTTGTGTCATTTTCCAAACTAGAAGTTCAGGCCTTGCAGTCAGAAAACTTTCCAGCACTATGATCATACTCAGACTCAGAAATAAACCAATCAAAAATCTGGATTTTTCATTTCAAACACACATTTTGTACTCTGAGTACTGAGTAAAGTTTTATGACAGAGGGCCCAGCAATCAACATTCAGGTCAAATTTGACACTTGATATCTATAGATCAATCTAAAGTTGTTTTTTTATGAATGAGTTACACCTGTTGACCCAAGGTCAATCGTTGTAAATGATGTCATTGAACAATCGGTTCTTACTGTGAGGTAAAAACATAAGCATTGTGTCATAGGAAATTCATGGCAAAATGAAAAAATATGAGTCGTCTTTTCTAATAATACTGTAAGAAGCAATTTATACTTTCTGTGTCAATGGAGCCAGACTGCTGGAAATCATTAGCTTTACAATGAGATGATAGACAGGTCAAAGGTCGTACTTACTATTATTACTTATATCCAAGCTAGCTATATTGTGTATATTAGCTATGGTACTCTCTATATTCATTGATCCTGACTGTTGGAAGTCATTACCAGCCACATTTAGATGGAGATTAGTCAAATGCATATTACTAGAAATTCCCAACATTAGTTCTCTGTAAAAGAAAATCAATGTTATAATCTTTGACTTCATTCATAAAAGAAAGAAAAGCATTGATCAAAAACAGTCGTGACTTACATATATGACTACCAAATCATTATAGATGATTTGTGCTGTTCTGTTTAGGACAAATCTTGTTTTAATGTTTGTAAATATTTTTATTTATTTGGCTTCTTAAACTTTTGAACTCTGAGGTACCTAATAAGGGTTACCTGATAAAGGTATGTCTATAATATAACTATGTTTAACGCCAACTGAAATTGGTTTCATACAATTACATTACTGTTCTTTTTTATAGTAGAAATTCCATGATCTATAAAAATAAGAAGATGTGGTATAATTGCCAATGAGACAACTCTCCACCAGAGGCCAAATGACATAGAAGTTAAAAACTATAGGTCACCGTATTGCCTTCTGCTCGTTTTCATTTTGTTGACATAAATTATATTATATGAAAATAAAACATGCAAATTAAAAACTTTTTACATAATGATGGCTCTTATCTGAATTAATTCTTAACATTCCTTAAGGCTGTTATGAAGAGAAAAAAAACTCAAACATCTACCTAGTTCTGAGCTCATAATTATTTTCAAATCTATTATTCACTATTGATTAATTTGTATGTGTATTTTTTCATTTACAACAATGACATATATTCAAAACAAACAATTGAAATTAGGTTGGTGTTACTTACTTTAAAGCATCAACTGGTATTTTACAAGATGACATATCTAGATACTCTAAACTACAGGTGCTGGCAAAAAACTGTTTCCATGAAGGCTGCACAGCTATTTCCTTCTTTTTATGTGTGTACACATTTTTTGAAAGGTACAAGTGTGTTAGACTAGTGCATCCTCGCTGTAATGCAACCATCAACTGCAAATACACAATATTTATAATAATTCCAATCACTACCTTTCTGTCAAAGTATCAAAGTGTTTGGTTTTAGGTGACGTTATTTGACGTCATTTGTGCATTTGTTGGGCATAAAATCTACGTCATTAAGTTACTTTAAGGGATGAATATTCTAATAGGGAAAATTTCCATATAACTGCTTAGAAAAATGTGTTAAATGATAAAATTAATATATTTCTTTAGGCAGGGTTGGATTATGTACATAAGAATAAAGATGGGATGTTTTTTTTCTGGCAATGGAAATGACATTCATCAAATGTATTGTGGCATGTAAACAATCCTAACATTTCTTATAACCTAATCAAAGTCTTTATGTATTCAAATATATGTCTGTTTCAATAAATATTTGAAAACTTTTTCTGTACAATTGGCTTTGACTTGTATGGTAATGATTTTAATCCATAACTTAAGTAACTTTGTTTTCATCTTGCTGTTTCAGTATTAAGTCTTTTTCATTCCATGGTATGAAACAAAATTTATAGACGAATCAAACTAGTTGATGAATGTGCCAAATTTAAACTCTTGTAACTCTTTCAACAGCAAATATTCAAAAAAACAAAAAACTATGTATAAGTTTGAACAGAATGAGTTCTGTAGAGCAAATTTTGTGACAGTCAAACCTCTGCCGAGTTTTCAACAGCAAGAACTTTGACAGGCTTTAAACAATAAGTGTAAACACATGAGTGGTCTACTTACATTTTCTAAGGCACATTCTATTCCTGATAAATCTAGATGAGTAATATTATTTGGATTTCCCAGGAATCTGTACATGTTCTGAAGAAAAATATATCATTTTAATATTGCTGTTTTACAATTTGTTCATAAGGTATATATATGTATTGCAAAGTCTATCAAGTATTTGAGTTGAATTATTAAAAGTGATGCTCAATTTGACATAGTACTTTGATCTTAATCAAATCAATAGTGGCATTTCATTCTATAAAATACAAAATCCACTAATGGCTTTAAAAACTGACATTATAACTCATGAATAAATATAGATTGTGAGTTTTATATTTGAAAATTATCATCTTATTTCTATCTTGATGTTTTAGCCCTCTAAGAACAGTACTAGTCTTCATTTTTCTAAGTATAAATACTAGAAACATGAGGTTAAAAACAAAATATCCTCTACAATTTTTTTTCTATTTGCTAAAAAATATATTCAAAATTTTGATGAGTTCTTTCATTAATACTTTCAAGGAACTCAAGGATGATGCTTTAAAATCACTGTTACGGGTAGTTGTTTCATAAAAGAATATAACCAAGAAAAATAATTTTTATGAATAGCTTCCCTTTTTAAATATTAATTTCCTGAATACCTTTTATGTTTGAACAGTCGTTAGTGTTTTACCCATCCATGTAAAGAAAGTTTGAAGGTAGTTGTTGCTCAATCTTTAGTCTTACACTCAAACCAGTTTTGGAGTTTGTATTCCCTTATCTTTAGTTTCTGTTTAGTGGACAGTTGTTTTATGTTGTTTTTATTTAGGTTAATGTATTGTATCTTTTCCTTAGACGTAAGATCTTTGTGCGCTTCCCCTTTTTTCTACTACATTACTATACCTGTAAATCTTCCCCTTTAGTTGAGTTATCTGAGATATTTAGTACTTGAAGTCCACCAAAGATTGCGTCATGTTGTGTCATTAACTCAAATATTTTATTTAATCCTTTCCCTGTTAACTTTGTATTACTGATGTTCAGATGACTCAGTCCTCTCGACAGATTACTCAGGGATCCAAGAAATGATATCATGGCTGGAAACACAAGCAATAAAACTTTCATATGTAGTTCACACTAATGTATGTGTAGTAAGTGAGTATGTGTTAATTAATCAATCAATGTGTTGTTATAATTAACATTTTTATATGTTTCACCATGCCCAGCATGCATGATCACATTTCTATGTTCAGTGAACCATGATTTCTAGGTCTAAACCTTAATTTGGCATACATTTAATAATAAACATGCATAATTCTCAAGTTGATGTGACCACAAGTGAATGGTAAACTGACTTAATCCAAAACGTTAACCTGATACAGGACAGACCAAACAGACTAACAGACAGATGAACACTTCAACAAACCAACTATCCTAAGTGGGGCATAATAATTCTGGATTCACAGTATTTACATTTATCAATCTTTACCACTTTGAACAAGAGAACCAGTGCTGTAGTTCTAATTTATCCACAACAATGTCTTTATTTGAAGTGCTTTTCTAGAACAATCAGATGAAACCATCAGAAATGTAGAAAGCAAAAGTTTGCAAGCCAATGATGTATAATAATATGGGACCAATTTAAAGATAACACCTAAGAGATCATCTAAAGCTGTCTTGCTCAAAACTTTGCCTAGCTGAAACCTCTTGAGATGAAATATTCAATACCACATCATTAAATATAGTAAACTTACTGAAACATTTTTATTTTATATCAAATAGCTTAATCAACACAAAAAAAAGCAGGTATCTAGATGCGTATGTGAATTGTTAATCCTTAATAATTTAATTTTGGATGTAACACGTCTTCTGATTGGCTGAAAGATTTTTGTTTATCAGCTCATAGACATAATTTTGTCATGTGACCGTGACGTCATCAATGTTTTTTTTCATAATTTACTCCTTAAAAATGGAATTTAGAATTAAATTATAAGGAATGACTGTAATATTTTTTCTGTCTATTCGGAATAACCTAATACATGTGGTGTACACTTTTAAACAACCTGCTACCCGGGTTATTCAGTGTGCACCACATTTTTGATGTTATTCTTCATAGACAGAAAAAATATTACAGTCATTCCTTAAATAATCTTAATATGTAAATGAAGTAGATTTGTTTTGTTACAATAAATGAATAATTACCTCTATCATCCAGTAGGTTTTTGGACAGATCTATCCTGGTCAGTTGACTTCCTGTGTTAGATAAGATGGCTGTTCCTAACTTGACAACGAATTCTCTGAAATATTGTACAAGCAGTGTACTGGAAAGCAGTACAATAAAAGTCAAATTAGTAATGAAGATGATAAGCATGTTAAGCATGTTAATCATGTTAATCATGTTAAGCATGTTAATAAATGCACAATGAAATAGCTCCTTCAAGAAACCTGTACCACTTGTAGAAAAAGTTTAAATGCATTTGAGCAAAAAGTTTTTAAATCTTTCCCTTCATTGATTCAGAATTTAATCTGGGGAAAAGTTCAAAAGGTCAAGTCAGACAATTTCAAAGAATTTTTTTTATATGTAACAAACACTAACTTAAGTGATCATTTTTTGAATTGAAATACAATTTTTATTGTAAGTAATCTGAATAAATTCCAAAGCAACTGCAATAGTTTTAAACCATTTTACTACAAGATGGGAAAATGATTAACTAAGACAGATAATAAATCATTCTGTAACAATCAATTATTTGATTAGGACTAAGCTATGAATAAAATTAAAAAACAATCAGAATAAACCAGCACAGTGTCCTTGAAGCTATGATGAGTTATAAAAAATGCTATAGCAATGAAATGCAATCTTCTTTTATGAATTGTCCTTGCATTAATATGATAATGCAATATTAAAATGATATGAAGCAAAGGGTGTTACTAATGCTAAGCTCTAAGCAGGTTATCAGCTCATAGCTTTGCTGAAACTTAATTTGATACATTCAAAAAATTAGTAAGGGTTCAGCGGAACCCAGTGTCTTGCCTACTTTTGCTGTTGTCTATGTTTTCAGTGTGATAGGGGAATGCACATAATAGATTTACAGTTAATAAAATAAAACGTTTGAAATGTATGAAAAAAGTTATGCTTGTAAAAAATTAATACAGTATGCAATCAAATCTATAGATTTATAAAAGAGTTGAAACATAAATTTATTGAATGGTGAAAAAATTATTACAAATTTTCCTCTAGATACTATCTTTTGATTGTAAGAAGCTTCTGTCCAAGTTTGGTAAAAATCCAGAATGGTTTATGAATCTAATAAATGTTTTAAAAACTTTAACTGCAGACTGTATGTAATGTTAACTGGAAGAAAAACTAAGACCATTTATAAGTAGTATACGGAAAAACAGGAAATAATTTTTTACAAAATTTCCTTCTAGATACTAGCTTTTGATCATAAACAAGCTTCTGTCCAAGTTTGGTACAAATCCAGGATAGTTTAAGAAAGTTATTAAAATTTTTAAAACTTTAACCACAGAGTGAATGTAATTTTAACTTGCAGAAAAACATAGCCCATTTATAAGTAATATATGGATAAACAGGATTTTTTTTTTTACAAAATTTACTTCTGGATACTATTTTATGATCATAAACAAGCTTCTGTCCAAGTTTGGTAGAAATCCAGGATAGTTTAAGAAAGTTATTAAAATTTCAAAAACTTTAACCACAGTGTGAATATTTGTGGACGCCGCCTCTGACTATGATGGAATGTAGGATCGCTATGTCTCGCTCGACAAAAATCATAAGTGTGTTTGAGAAAAAAATGGGTTAATTAATTGCAGAAGATTTGTGCTATCAGGCCCAAGACCTCAATTAATGACCCCTATCTTGGTTGTCCACAAATATAGTTCCCTTTAATAACCGAATACTGTATTTTTTCTTAATTTTTCTTCTTTCACTTTCTCATTTATTTCTAAGCTTTTATGGGGTGGAAATAAAGAAGAGAGTTGATATAATACTTTTGGATGTTTTATTTAAATATTCAGTGGATGTGAAGAGTGATTGGGTCAGGTGGAAAATAGGTAATATTTACAGTTTTCTGAACATCTCTTGACTTGTCCATACCAGTAGGGATGTATTGGCTTAATTTGTCTACTGGGTAGACTGGTAAATTTTGGATATATATTGGGACTTGTACGGAACATTGTACATACCAAAGATTTTGCAGAAACCACTGGTGGGATTTTTTTAGTATGACAAAACATTATAAAGAACAAATAGGGGAAATTAATTGTGGTCTATGGCCATCAAAGTGGATAAAAATATGTATCTAGATGACAATTAAAATGGCAGATCTATTTCCTTTGTTTTCAGTACAGGAGTATAAACAAACAAGAATGTATGTCTGTATAACACCATGTCCCATTTGACCTATCATGTGTCCATGGTCAGTGAACCGTGAAATCAGAGTAACGATCATAATTTGGCATGAAAATATAAAAGTTTGCCTCATTATATATATGAACATGTGTATTAAGTTTCAAGTTGATTTGACCACAACTTCATTGTAAACTACCTTAACTAAAAACTTTACCCTGACAATGTAATAATTTCACACTTTCACATATTTGTGTTTAGTGAACTATGAAATCGGGGTAAAAATCGTAAATTTGGTATATAATTTAAATAATTGACTTCAAAATGAACATGTGCATTAAGTTTCAAGTTGATGTGACCACAAGCTAATGATAAATTACCGTCACCAAAAACTGTAACCTGAAACGGGATGGACCAACAAAAGAAATGACGAAAGGGCGTAGAGACCAGAAAACATAATGCCTGCCTACTAACGTAAGCAGGGCATAAAAAAAATACCGTTGGACATGCAATAATGTATGAATTTGATACACCATAAAACATTACTTTTTTGCAAATGTTTACTGTACACTGTTTGGTACTGTTTCTGTTATATGGATTTTTGTTTACTACATGTAGTAATAATGCATATATATATATACAAGGCATATATTGTACAATCTAGCACAGTTTCTATACATATGCTTTTCTAAATCAGAATCAATATCAAACCTTGAATTCACCATGATTTTTCTAAAATTTCATAAAATATAATTTGAAAACAAGTAATAAAATCTAAATAAAAAAAAAGAACAGAGAGTAAAATACAAAATTTGTATACAATTAGTTTTTAACACTAAGAAAGTAATATTTTACAAAACATTAAACCACAATTTAATTTTTTCTAAACAAATATTTGTTAAATCATTCATATTTTGTTCTCTTAATTAATTTTTTTTGCAATTAAATTCTTGGTAAAAAAATTAAATTTTTCCATTTTCAAAAATATCGAAAAGGGATGCTGATCAATATTAACTAAAGACATAGTTTTGTTAAATATTGTAAAAATTTGAATTTGTCCATCATCAAATATCGAAAAAGTAGGCTGGTAAATACTCTATAGAGACAGTTTTGTTTTGTAATGTGTTGAAAAATATATAGAAATTTATGAAATGCAAAGAAAATAAGCAGCAGAATGTATTGATGCAAAGCCCACACAAAACCTGATATAGATGCTTCCATTACAAGAATAACTTCAGTTTCTCTATATCTCTATTCTTATTATGGTCATATGGTGTATATAAAACAACTTTCATTTCTCTGCTTATAAACTTACACAGTGATTCCTGTATTACTCAGATTTATATCTTCTATTAAACAATTTTTGTGCATAACTTTTAGGACTTCGGCCTGAGTTTCACCAGTCTGAAAAGATGAACAAAAAATATTTCAATACCAAGTGATAACAATTTTCTCAATGTGAAACTAAAATTATAGATTCCATTTAATTTACTGTGGATTCATAATCTTTCGTTGGATACCAATTTAAATTTATTTCGTGGGTAAAGGTAAACACTGAATTAAGATGTTCATTAAAGTACAAATTTTCTGTAGGCTCGTATGCAGACTCCTTCCTCCTAAAACACCAAATCTAATATCCAAGAAAATTCAATTTTTCTTCAATCCCAAAAAATTGGTATCCACAAAAATAAATGAATTCACAGTTATTATAAGAAATGGTCTTTTTGAAATACTTTCTTTACTACTTGTGAAAAACATTACTATCATTGCACTATTCATTTATAACATTACCATGATATAGTAAAACAAATATCAACCAGTTTCCTACCTCTTAGCAGAATAAACACAGAGATATGTCTCACCTTTTTGTTATTTTGATAATGAAAATGTTGAAATTATCATTGTGCAAATATTCAAAATCAATGAACCATGACAGAAGGTGCATGGCTAAACAATCTCCATGGAAATGAGATGTGCCAATGCTAATACAACTGCATATCAAATACCATTGACTTTTCATAAGTCATTCCCTTTAAACAAACCTAAACACAATCATTAACTTGTAAACTATGTAAAAGTTTCAAAGTCAACGAACCATGATGAAGGGGTGGGGCTATATAATCTCCATTGAAATGAGACTTGCAAATGCCAATACATTCAAATACCAAATATCATTGACTTAACATTAGTGGTTCATCTTTAACTGATCTAATAACAAACTAATACATATAAACTAAGCAAAAGTTTAAAAGTCAATAGACCATGACTGAGGGGTAAGGACCCAATATTCTCCATGGAAATGAGATGAGCTAATATTTTCAAAACTGCATACAAATTATCAATGGCCTACTTCTAATGGTTCCCCTTAAACTGACCTAATCACAAACTAACACATGTAAACTGAGCAAAAGTTAATAAGTCAATAGACCATGACTGAGGGGGCGGGGCCCAATAATCTCCATGGAAATGAGATATGCCAATGCTGATACAACTGCATACCAAATATCATTGACCTACCACTAGTAGTTCCCCATAAACTGAACTAATCACAAACTAATACATGCAAACTAAGCAAAAGTTTCAAAGTCAATAGACCATAACTAAGGGGCCAGGGCCAAATAATCTCCATGGAAATGAGATGTGCCAATGATAATACAACTGCATACCAAATATCATTGACATACATCTAGTGGTTCATCAGAAACTATACCTAATCACAAACTAATACATTGTTGATGCTGCTGCCACTGCCACCGGAAACAGCATACCTATGTCTCGCTTTTTGACTCCGTCAAGGCGACACAAAATTCATTGTAGGTGACTATACGATATGGGTTTTGCTCATTGTTGAAGGTTATGCGGTGACCTATAATTTCTTAAATCCATGTCATTGAAACTCTTTTGGATAGTTATCTCACTGACAATCATACCACATCTAATTTTATATAGGTAGGTAAAATGGTTTTATTTTACAAAAATATTTAACTTAGACTGTATACATGATATAGGGAAATATTTTGGAGTTAATAGTGCTTAACCAAAAATCCCCATAAAATATGTTGAGTGTAGGCATACATATTTAGGGATGGTACAGAGGCAGGAAACAGAAATACATTTTCTTGGCCTAACTAGTGTAAGTAATCTTCTCAGATTGACAGAGGCCAATGATAGAGTGTAGACTCAAGTTAAGACTGGATAATATTCTATTAAAATGAACTGTTACCATTTTGACTCCACTGAGATCCAGACCGGTAAACCATGTATTATGTTCTATAGCCGACACAATGGGCTGTAAATCTCTGCAATATGTAAAAATATATATAATGTCAATTTTATTCATCATAGAAAAACAAAGGATATGCATGATGGAGGACTGTAAGTCCCCAAGGGTGTCATCAACTTAGTTGTCATTGCTTCAGTACTGACATGATTGTTAACAAACTTTTGTTAAATTCTCTGTTTGACCTTAGATGAATTTGTCTATTTTTTTGGGGGGTTACTTTTGGTAATACAGCTCTTTACTTGTTTAGGTCTTATATTTCCTTGGTTTTCAATTTTTTTGTTTGCACGTCCCTGCTGAAGGTAAATCCAAATAAATTGCTTCGCTGAACGCAGCTGGATACGACCGCAGATGTCCAACCCTGAAAAGTTGGGCAAAATGGACACAATATTCACGCTTGATACAGGTCTGAATTAGGATTGTAACTAAATTTTTGACACATAATAGGTTTCTGACACAGTATAACTGTAGTAAAAGAACTTCAAATTGGTTATATGGTTTGAATTTATATTAAATTTATTGCTTTTGTGCAATACACTATGCTGTTGCGAATTGCCCCCCCCCCCCCCCCCCCCCTAACAAAAAAAATTTATTTTACCCTGGTTTTTTGCTTTTGTGCAATACACTATGCTGTTGAATATTAACCTCCCAAAAAAAATATTTGAAGAAATTTTCTTTTAATTTCTGAAATCTGAAATGAGAAAAATTGTCCCCCCCCCCCCCCCCCCCCCCCGCCTCCAATTTTTTCACCTCCCCCCTTTCCCTTATTCCCCCAAAAAATTCTTTCCCTCAAGATATGGTCAGTATCTCAATTCAAATTTCTAATGCAGTTTGCAACCAAAATTACCCATTTAAATACATCATAAAAGTTTTAAAATATAAAATGACATACATAGTCATGGCTAAAATTAATATTAATTAATAGTAACTGCTAAAAATAAATTGACAGCTAATCACCTCAAGACAATCATTATTTCTTAATACATAATTTACAAGCAGTGTAAGGGAGGTAATCAAACAGTGTTCTTTAATTTGAATTGGATTACCTCCTTTACACTGCTTTTAAATTGTCTCAATTGTCCTTTAACCAGAAAAACCCTTGTTTTTCCCCTTTTTTTGCCCCTTATTACTATATGGTTTGAGCCATAACCCCCCCAAAGTCAATCCTAACCATCCCTTTGTTGTATGGAAGTTTGTGGTATAATTTCAGAGAGATTCATACACTTTAACACAAGTTATTGTCTTGAAACTACAAAAATGCTTATTTGGGCCCCTTTTTTGGCCCCTAATTCCTAAACAGTTGGGACCATAACCCCCAAAATCAATCCCAACCATCCTTTAGTGGTTATAAACCATGAGTTAAAATTTTATTGATTTCTATTTACTTATACTAAAGTTTTTATCCGGAAACCATCTGTCTTCGGACGACGACGACGACAATGTGATACCAATATACGACCAAAAGTATAAAAAAAAATTTAATTTTTGCGGTTGTATAAAAAAAAAAACTATTTTTGCGGTCGTATAAAAAGGACTCTGGACGCACAAAATCAATAAAATGTTATTTTCATTTGCAACACACAATTGTGACAGTAATCTTATTTTTATCACGTTCCTCTCTGTTCAGTCTTATATTCTATCTGTGACATCATTCACTAATACTATTTATTATGAGGAATGGACTTTAGCCAGCATTTTTTCAAAGGGCTATTCTTTAAGATTGATTTCAAAATTTTATTGGACTATTGCCCATATGCTTTCTCTCCACACACACTGATTGATGCAAGAGCCTTCTAAACTATAGTTTAATAATAGTGTCATAATTCTTAGAAAGTGTGAAATTTCAAGATTTTAAGTCTACCCTTGTTTGTGAAATTTCAAGATTTTAAGTCCATCCTTGATTGTGAAATTTGAAATTTCAAGATTTTATGTCCAACCTTGTTTGTGAAATTTTACTTTATATTCATGTTACTCTTTTTTGGACTCTTGGTCTTTAAAGATAAAATTTACCTGAGAGAATATTTTCAATATTATCTTATTGCAAAATTAGTGAGATTAATCCCTAAATCTCTCATTTTGTCTCAAATACTTGCATAATGGAATAAAATCAAATACAGTCAGACATACAAAGGATAAAATTGAGAATGGAAATGGGGAACATGTCAAAGAGACAACAACCCGACCAAAGAGCAGATAACAGCCGAAGGCCACCAACGGGTCTTCAACGCAGCGAGAAAATCCCACACCCGGAGGTGGTCCTCAGCTGGCCCCTAAATAAAATTGTGTACTAGTTCAGTGAAAATGGACGTCACTGTAAACTCCTAAACATATAAATGAACTAAAATTAAAAAATGATACAAGACTAACAAAGGCCAGAGGCTCCTGACTTGGCATTATACATGTTATAACCAATACTACTTTAATGTATTCTAATAATATCATTCTATAGTTTCATAATACAGCCAACTTCCTGTCTCTTTATACTCACTTCCCGGATAAGTGATCAAAGTCTTTTAATGTAAGAACTCGACAGTCTTGTGATAAATATATAGTGTCGACATCCTGAAATATACAATTATATAATGTTTACTAAAATATACAATTATATAAATTCACTGAAATTGGCATAATGTCTCTCTTCTTTTTATTATTTTTATTTCTTTTCAGAATTGATTGAAGAGAGTAGCTTGAATTTTTTTTAGATAAAGTATGAAGGTGAAGACTGCCAAAAATCACCTTTAAGATATAAAACAAATTGAAAATTAAAAAAATTAAGTATCCCATCTGATTTCCATTCTCCACTGCTGCATACTTATTAAAGATTTTTAGTTTAAAACTATTTATTCATTGCAGGTTATAAGATATTGGAACACTGGAAATGAGAATTAAATAAAATTTTCATTATAAATTTACCTTATATACAAAAAGAAGATGTGGTATGATTGCCAAGGAAAACTGACAATCCAAGTCAATTAAGATTGCCCCGTGTTATCTTTTATTATCCTTACAAGCTTTTATTTTTAGTTACATTCCTTTCTGACAAACTTTTAATGCATTCTATAAGCTACCGTAGAAAGGCTTGTATAGTTCGCACTGGTACATAGTCCGCACCCCCTTCTCCCCACGAAATTTTAGGTAAAAAAACTTTTTGTAACTGTTAGAAAAGGTCAAATGAAACTCCGGTAATTTCAAATCCTGTGCGGTCGTTTGCGGTATTTTCTTGGAAAAACCTGTTTTCCATCATCAAACAGAAACTGAAACTGCTTGTAAATGATTCTAGAACGCTTCATGATTGTTAAAATAAGTTTAATTCACTTAAAAAACAATTTAGAAACTTGTGTATGTTTAAACAGGAAGTTTAAAAAGCACGTGTAAAAGAAGAAATTAACCGATGAGAGTCGAAATCCGTACATAACAGATATCACTATAATACGACTTTGAAAGTAAAACAGTTCCATCCTTTTGTAAAACAGTCTTTAATATATCTATCACATTAATGTTTGAAGGGTCTTAAGCTAATACACACCATATTAGTCAGTATGAAACACCAAAACGGAACGAACAATAACCGATTACGTTTTGTAGTTCACAAATTCTAAGCTGGTTTATGGTTGTCTTTTTCACTATGTTTGTATCGTTTCAATCAAGCAGATACCAGTTTATTTCAACCAATGCATTGAAAAGAAACAAGAAATTTGTAATGAAAGGTTTAGTTTTTATATTTATCAGTATTAATTTGTTATTGAATAGAAATAACTTATTAATATGGATGAGTTAAAATTATTAGTTTGAAAAATGATAAGAGCGCCCTCTACAATATAAATAACAAAGATGGCGGAACGTAAACAAACCACCTCGCCCGCGAAATTGAAATTTTTCTCTTATTTCTTGCTTATTGTACTCTATAGTCCGCACCCCGTCTGGAAGGTCCAATTTTGGAGAATAAAACCGCGGACTATACAAGCCTTTCTTTGGTATTACTTTTTCTACAGGGAAAAAAACAAAGTATTTTGTGACTGATTTGTTTTTTAATCTAACAGCTAAATGTAGCATTTCCCAGATTCTTCTGAATTTTAGTGCCTTCTGTACATTACAAAACAATCAGTTTTGTAAAAATCGCCAGAAAAATTAAGTAAATTCAAATATTACAACAAAAGAAAAACAGAAGAAAAAAAAAGTGCCTAACAAATTCAGTCTTATAAAATATATTGATTTTGAAGAAGTTATAACATGCATGTATAATGAGTTCAAATATTCCACGATTCTTACAGTGTTTTTCAACTTATCCGTAATACCCTCCTCACACTATGTATTGTAATAATTAACGGATCACATACCCAAGCAACTTCTTCTCTATATGGAAGGTTGAAATAATCGCACATACAGGCATACATCATAGCAAAGTTGCCACATGGACCATGTTCCTTTTGTTCTATTGTTTTAATCATATCATTCATCATCTTTAACCTTTCTGGAGGGTGAACATCTATTTTCTTCATGATTCGTCTAGAAAAATTACACATTAGAAGTTAATGTAAAGAAATTAAACTATGGCAGTATCAATGGAGTAGAAATTTTTATGGAGTTTGAGTCATTTATGAAATTATGCAAGGTATGATAGGACTTAGGTGCAGGTAAACTGATCTATGTTTATGATCAACTGAATACTGTTAATTCAGAAAGTGAATTTGTAACTGCGAATCACTGTAATTGGTTAAAATTCGAGATCTAATTAATGCAACTGCAAAAATTTTGTAAAGAAAAATCACTACTGAATTTAAGATATAAGCTTTTATTATTGGGAACCTGATACTTTTGCATTACTGGCAATAATAAAAACATGGCAATAGTATGTGACAATTTATATGTAAAATTGTGTAAATCTTCCAATGAAGACTTGTGGTATTTTATAATTTTAGGAAACCTAAAAAATCACTCAGATCAGGGTGAACAGTTTTTTTTACAACTTCATGTCCTGCAGAAGAGTGTGTGCAAGTTTGGTAAATTCTATCAAGCTGTTTACAAAGAATTTTGTGTAAGAGATATGGCCCAAGACTCAAGACAATAAGTGATTCCTTTGTGTTACTACAGCTTAGCTGTATGGCAAAAGGCAACATAATTCTTGGAAAACTTACTATTCAGTAATCATGTGACTCAATCATTTAATAAATTGCTTCGCCGAGGGCAGCTGGATACGACCGCAGAGGTCCAACCCTGAACAGTTGGGGCAAAAATGGACACAATATTCGCGCTTGATACAGGTCTGAATTTGGATTGTAATTCAATATTTGACACATTATAGGTTTCCGACACAGAATAACTGTAGTCAAAGAACTTAGAACTGGTTATATGATTTGAATTTATTTTCAATTTTTTGCTTTTGTGCAATACACTATGCTGTTGCGAATTGACCCCCCCCCCCCCCCCCACCCTTTTTTAAAAAAAATAAAAAAATTTGAAGGATTTTCTTTTTGATTTCTGAAATCTTGAGGAGAAAAAATTGCCCCCCCCCCCCCCCCCCCCCCCCCCCCCTGCCCCTTTTTCCAAAAAAAAATTCTTTCCCTTAGTCATGGTCATAATTTCCATTCAAATTTCCAATGGATCTTGCAACCATAATAACCCATTTAAATACATCATAAAAGTCTTAAAATAGAAAAAGACATACATAATCATAGCTAAAATTAATTTACCTTAATCAGCATTTTTAAAATTATTAAAATAGTAACTTCCGAAAAAGGATTGACAGCTTTATCACCTCAAGACAATACAAAAATTCTTTATACATAATTTAATAAAAAGTGTTTGAATTACCTTCCTTACACTGTAATTTGTACTTCCTAAACGGTTTGAGCCATAACCCCCCCTCCAAAGCCAATCCTAACCATCCCTTTGTGGTATGGAAACTTGTGGTATAATTTCAGAGAGATCCATACACTGTTCCACAAGTTATTGTCTGGAAACTAGAAAAATGCTTATTTGGGCCCTTTTTGGCCCCTAATTTCTAAACTGTTGGACCATAACCCCCAAAATCAATCCCAACCTTCCTTTAGTGGTTATAAACCTTGTTTAAATTTCATAGATTTCTATTTACTAATACTAAAGTTACTGTCCGGAAACCAAATGTCTTCGGACGATGACGACGTGATAACAATATACGACCGTAAATTTTTTTGCGGTTGTATAAAAATGATGGGAAAATTGTTAGCTTAACATTATAAAATACATATACATTGAAGTCTTGAAATGAATCGTATACCATGTGACCTACTCCACAGGAAAGATTCATTTCTTAAATATAAATGACTTAATGGCCACTCTTAAAAAGTTGTTTGTTTGTTTGTTTGATGTTGTCTACCTATGCCTTGTAGGACTGGGTATGTAGGAACCACGTAAGAGCAGGAATAAATCTTTAAAGAAAAAATTTGAAACGATTTGTGTCAAAACTTGTTTTGGGTAGGCTGCTTTTTAAGTGGGTAGGTAGGCAACATCTAACAATTCAAATTTTATTTTTGGCCTTATAAGAAATAATAAAAATTTGGTGTGACTTACTCTATAGGGAATGATGGGAAGATTTGTTTGATGGAGGTACCAACATGGGTTATCATGTGATTGATTTCATCGGTTTCTGTTTCCAAGGTCACAAAGGAGTAACTTTTTCCTTCATTTGTTGTTATCACAAGCTGAAACAGAAAAAACAAAAAAAACATTTAAGAAAGACATAGGCAAACATACAAATTTCTACCGGTTAATTTCTTCTTTTACACGTGCTTTTTAAACTTCCTGTTTAAACATACACAAGTTTCTAAATTGTTTTTTAAGTGAATTAAACTTATTTTAACAATCATGAAGCGTTCTAGAATCATTTACAAGCAGTTTCAGCTTCAGTTTGATGATGGAAAACAGGTTTTTCCAAAAAAATACCGCACACGACCGCACAGGATTTGAAATTACCGGAGTTTCATCAGACATTTTCTAACAGTTACAAAAAGTTTTTTTACCTAAAATTTCGTGGGGAGAAGGGGGTGCGGACTTTGTACCAGTGCGAACTATACAAGCCTTTCTACGGTATATATTATAGTCATATAAACTGGAAGGAAAATATCATCCAAAACTATGCATATTATATTCTTATTTTATAAAGAGCCGCTTAAAAAGATGTGGTTTGAAACCAAAATTATGCAGGTTAAACTCCAGTAAATATCATCTAAAGTAGTTTGATGTTTTCACCTGAGCAGTACTCTTTCCGGTTTAAAATAAAATTAAAACAGATCTGACCAGATGCAAGTAAAATTGTATAGCATTTTAATTGTTTCACATGTCACTATGCACTGATAAAGACAGAGTAAATGAGAAAATTGCCAATTTTTGTCAATACCAGTCATCATAAAACAGTCACAAAAAATTTTATTCAACCATACCACAAAATTATAGCCAATTAATAGTCTTTGGGCAACTTAATTTTAACTTAAAATGATTACAAATGTGATAATTAAACAGTTGGTGTTACATGGTTGAGAAGTCTACATACAACGATACTATAAACCTAAACTGTTTTCTCATAATACTTTATTTTATCGGCAATTTTTTCAAGATTTTCTAATTTTTTTAATGTATTTATTTATGGGAAGACCCAAGTTTTACATCATCACAACCATCTGCGTTATTTTTCTACTCGCTAAAGTCATGAAAATCAGTTGGTTTACTGTCTGCATTTTCAATTTATTGTCAAGGAAATAGAATCATAAAGAAATTAAATTTTTTATAATTTTATCTGCTTTATTTACATAATAGACTTCTCCTATCTTGATGTAACACTTCCTCGTGACCTACCTTGTTTTGTGCCTGGCTTTCTATAGACTGTATATCTAAGTAACATATATTGTGTTCTTGCTGTAAAATAAATACATTCATTAACTTCCTTTTCAATCTATTATTTATTCAACATTTGAAAATTGTTTTTATAATTTTACAAATAAAGGCACTTATATTACAGAAGAAAAACAAACATCCAATAATTCAAACACTCCAACAGGTAATGTTGAGCTGGAAAGTATAAAATACTTGACTGATATTTATGAATATACAGTTACATTAAGAACTGTAATTTTATAAAATAAGTGATATATGGATAAAATTTATATCTTGACAAAGTAACAAGAAACCTTACTATCATTTTTACTCCTTTAAAACTAGGCTTTGATGGTTCAAAATACTCAAAACTTGTATATTTTAACAGAAGTAGGTGAGCTATTTGATGTTTTTTTGGGTTTTATTTTCTTTTTGTACCATTGACAACAAAATATAATCAATTAAACATCATTAAGACAGCAACTCCATTACACAAAAAATCAAAGATTAATTGATTGGTGTTTAATGCCACTTTCTGCACTATTGGGTTATTCGTGGCGGTCAGTTTTTATTGGTGGAGGAAACCAGAGTGCTTGGAGAGAACCATCAACCTTCGGTAGGAAAACTGACAATCATAGTTATTTAAGATTGGAGTCAAACGCACCTGCCATGTGCAGGGTCTAAACTCACAAACTCAGTTTTGACAGGCTAGTGATACAGTAGTTGGACTACTTAGAACACTCTGCCACTGAGGTCCCCAAAAAGACATTTTACTCTTATCGTTACTACTCTTTCAAATTAAAAATGCTAGGGTCATGATCTATAGAAATTTTAAATTACATATGTAGGAATTCCAGAACATACAGAAGAGAACATAAACCAGTCTGTACATCAAAATATTTTGTAGGATTGAAAACATAAAGTCAGCTATAGATATTCAGGTCAACTGTTCCCTTTTCAATGCTCAAAAGTAAAACAAAAGGATAAAGGACTGTTTTTTCTCATTTATTGACTCTTCTAATTAATAATTTTTATTTACTGTTACATTTTATTCATTCTGACATTTTATAGAGAAGTTTAATTGAAAGAACAGCCATTATCATTATGACGCTATTGTGACTTTAACTTTAAAACTAAGGCACTGAGAATACCCAATAAATGTAATTCAAGACAATAGTATTTTGAACATCAAATTAAGTATCATATAGTCTTAGATGAAAGATGTATTGATTGTATTTTTTAAGTCCAGCATGAAATATTCCATGTAAGTGCAGGACAATAACATATTTATGTTAAATGAACAAATCCTATGTTGTACTAGACTGACACCCTGAGCATGATTTTTTCAAGATAATAGTCTGCAGGAGGACAGATCATCCAACCTCAAGGACACAATATTCTTAACCAAGACAAATAAGGGCTTTTGGTTTACTCCTTAATGCTGTGTGCTTGTTGTAGATCTGAAGCAGCAAATACACATGTTAAAGTCGTTAATTTGTACCAACAGGGGAACAAACCTACAACTTGTCATACTAGAGGTCAGCATGCTACAACTTCAAAGTGAAAATAATAATAACTAAACTGGAATAGGCAAAAACTGTTAATAAATGAATTTGTAAAAACATGAATCTTAAGTTCTAGCTTTTAAAAGGGCAAATTTAAGAATATTTTTCTATCATCATTAAAAAAAAAATCACAATAATCCTACATATTATTTGATATCTGACACTACAGAATTTGAAAACAGAGGGCGTTTAATAACTGGATAGGAACAACAATTTTAGTAACAAGAGTGCACACGCTGAAATGTCTCGCCTGTTTTGCTGACCATTAATTTTATGTTGAAAGTCGTCAAAATAAAGGTTTTAACTAAAAGCATCACAGAAACTCGGGTCAGATAAATGCTGTCAGACAGACATATACACCTTCCATTTTTTTATACACAAAATATATTTGACCTATTGCTCATGGTAATTGAAAAACAGACCAAAACAAAAAAAAAAATTCAACATTGACCTATGAACCATGAAAATGAGGACACAGTCAGATGATATCTGCCAGACAGACATGTATACCTAACAATCATTCCATACACCAAATATAGTTGACCTATTGCTTATAGTATTTGAAAAACAGCCCAAACCACAAAAACTTAACATTGACCAATGAACCATGAAAATGAGGTCAAGGTCAGATGAAACCTGCCAGACTGACATGTACCCATTACAGTCATTCCATACACCAAATATAGTTGACCTATTGCTTATAGTACTTTAAAAAAAGACCAAAACACAAAAACTTAACATAGACCAATGAACCATGAAAATGAGGTCAAAGTCAGATGATACCTGCCAGACAGACATGTACACCTTACAATCATTCCATACACCAAATATAGTTGATCTGTTGCCTATAGTACTGTGGATTCATTATTATTCGTTGGATACCAATTTTCGTGGGTTTCGTGGATACAGGTGAACCACGAATTTAAATGTTCAACGAATACAAATTTTATGTAAGCTTTGTATGCAGTGATTGGAAAAACCATGAAATCTAATATCCACGAAAACGCAAGTTTTCCACAATCCACGAAAATTGGTACCCACGAAAATAAATGAATCCACAGTACTTGAAAAACAGACCAAAACACAAAAACTTAACATTGACCAATGAACCATGAAAATGAGGTCAAGGTCAGATGAAACCTGCCAGACTGACATGTATCCATTACAGTCATTCCATACACCACATATAGTTGACCTGCTGCTTATAGTATTTGAGAAACGGACCTAATCACGTAACTTTAACCTTGATCACTGATCCATGAAATGAGGTTGAGGTCAGGTGAACCCTGTCTGAGTGACATGTAGATGTTGCAAGAAACCCATATACCAAATATGACTTTAATATGGTTAACCTATTACTCATAATAAGTGAGAAATCCACATGAAAAAAAAATTAAATTATTTTTCAAGCAGTCGTTGAACCATGAAAATGAGGTCAAGAACATTGGACATATGACAGACGGAAAGTTCGTAACATAAGGTATCTGCATACAAGATATGAAGCATCGAGGTCTTCTACCTTCTGAAATATAAAGCTTTATACAAATAGTAACACCACCGCCACCGGCGGATAGTAATACCTATGTCTTGCATACTGCAACTTTTGTCACAGGCGAGACAATAAAGATTGAGAGTACATTAAATGACATTTATTGAGTTATCTCCCCTCATTTTGAATTACAGTGCATTCCTTACAATTTATATTGCAAATTTCTTTAAAAAAGTGAAAATCAGTGTTATTATGTATGTAACTACACACTCTATATTCAATTCCATGTAAAATCTTCCCCATAGGAATTCTATCAATGCTCAATTCCTAAGAGCGATATTTTAAAATGACGTTTTGAAAATAAGAAAAATAGTGAAGATCTTCAAAAAACAAGCACAGCACCTTTTATTGGTAATAATAAACATGAAGAATAAACTGTCTTACCTCAGAACATAAACAAATAATTGTTAAAATTTCTCCAGAATTTCGATAAAACCGAGATATTAGATGTATATTTGTATACCTATTACATCTATCAACTTCCCATTTTTTAGGATAAGGAAGAATTTGTATTGACCGTGTACTAATGAGTGTTTGGTTTCTAGGTGAAATCATTTGTAAACAATTGGGTTTTTTATCATTTATTACCTACTGAAATAAATTCATCCGTGTATATATACAACTAATAGACCAATTTATACATAAATATCAAAATATTAGCGACATATCAGTGTTGTTTGATATTTCGAGTTCTAAACAAATAACTTGTGCTAAAGCATGGAAAAGTTTCACATAAAACTGTTAATATAATGCTTATGCTTCCTCTTTCATGTATTTTTTGCAGCTTTACAATTCTCTTCTTTTTATCCCAATGCTGGAACTTTGGTGACAGGACAAACCTTATGTATAAACTTGGACCAAAACTGACCACAACTGTGTTTAACCAACTTAAATAAAAGTTTAATTTTGCCATGTACAACAAAGTCGAATAAAACTTAAAAACCCTCTTTTTTAATAATGCCAAAATTTAAATTTTAGGACAGATCGTTATCTATAAATGTTGACTTGACAATATAATCCCACTTATCAGTGCAGGATATAGTAGTCTGTTTTCAGTTTTGAGTATTTACCTAAACTGTCTCCAAATGACACTAAATCTGTCTCCGAATAACCTTTTGTCGTCACGTCACACAACAATTACTTTTTAATTATTACTGAAATGTTTTTATTTGTGATGCAATATTTTGGGGGAACCTGGGTGACTGTCAGTAATGGCAGACAAATTTTCATACAAGTGTATATACGTCTTTAGCTTTAGTTCAGAGTGCTCTTTGTTGTTTAAATGAATGTATACAAACGTTTCGTCAAAAAATTTCAAATAGAATCTTGGCATAGAGGAAATTTTCAAATTATTCATCAAGGAAACCAAATTTTGGAAAAAATCAGTAAAGTAAGCATTTCTGATAGAATAAAGGTATCCTGGTGTAAAAATGGCAAAGCTAGGAAAACCTATATTGGTGTATTTGAGGTTGTCTTTTTTTCCACTTCACTATATGTATCAAAATTTTTTTTTTTTTTTATTAACACATACATGTTCATTTCATACATATAATCTTCAGAACTCATCTAGTCACCAAATGTCTTAATCTCTTCACAAATCAGGATAAATTGAGTATTCATTTCTTTTTATGTGAAAAGAACTGGAAACCTAACACAATTCATTTTCTTTCAAAACAGGACAAATTATGAAAAAGCCAACTACAGATATAATCCAAATTTTCAGAACACATACATAATTTTGTTTTTTCGCATTTTCTACTTTGAATTTTTTTAATTTATAAACAAAATATAAATAACTTTTTAAAGAGGTTAAGCATAAATGTTTTCAAAAATATTTTTTTTATCCCAGTACTTCCTATTATCACTGAAAAATAATATCATATGTCCACGTTTGATTATAATACAAAGTAAACATAGAAAGTCAACATTAATCTGTGATTATCTTCAACCAGGAAGTAAAATAAATCCATCTCTATAATTTATCTATAACATATATCTATATAAGGTCATTTGTACTCAATACCATATACCAGTATTTTAATTTCTTATCGTTAGTTTTTAAAACATGCTGAAAATAGTTTGAAATTAAATTGTAACTGCATTATCAAAACATGTGTGATCATTAAAGTGATAATTTATTTACACAAAGTTTAATTTTGTATCTAAAAAACAGGCTACTAATAAATTTATATGCTCTAAGTATATATTTACTTGGAACATTTTAACTGCAGTCCCCTCCAACTATGTCCAATTGTGGAACCTCAGTATATGTATAAATAATGGAAGTATTGTCATAATTTTATTTTTTCATTAATAAGTACCCTTCTTTTTTTCAGAGCAAATGTTTTTCTCAGCGACTATAAAATAAATCAAACAGATGTAAAAATAAGTCCTTTTAGGAAAAGGGACAGGGAATCGAAATTAATTTTACAAGTATAACAAAGTTTAGTGTATTCCTTAAAGTTCTGAGGAAGAATTAAATGATATCTGTAATTAAAAACTGCTTATTTATAGGGGCTTCTTTTATTGTATAAATCAGTACATTGGATATTTCTGATAACTTCTACATAATACACCATTCTCTACAAGAACCGAATTACCATGTAGGGAACCAGTAACATAATAGAGTGTACCAGGGCGATAACAGAACTAAACCTGACATGTAATTCTTTTGTTGCTGTGATCAATTCAATAGGTGCATATCAAAAGCAGTATCTATTGTACAGGTATACATAATGAATATTGTACATAAATAGTTTATTGATGTATTCAAAAATGTGATTATGATGTCATACAAATATCTATTCAGTGTAAAATTAGTCTATATCTTCATTTCTTATGGTCAGCTGAGCAGATAAAATGTTTTTTTTTTTGTGATTCATTAAAATGGCATGCACTAATAAACTGTATGACATTTATGTAATCTTGTACATTAACAGAATATTTCAACCAATGACAAGTAGATCTACTACAATCATGACAATGTATACCTTACTTCCTGTTTTGGTAAACTTCTTATTTGATCATAATTTTGATCAGATTTGAAACAAACAATCGTTTAAATGATTATAAAAGTCAACAAATTGATTGATACATAAAGTTAAATATGACTATTCATTTCAAAATACAGAGGAAACAAACCTCATACCATGCAAGCAAAGCAATGTTAAATATGTTAGAAATGCACTAGGGGAAATCTTACATATACATGTATAGAAAATGGGGGTGGGGGCTTTTAGTTGTGGAAATGACAATGTGTATACAAACACAATTAAATAGTAAACTTACTAAAAATTCTAAAAAAAATTATGTAGGTAACATTTAAGCAATGTTTATTCTAAATAGACAATAATAATAACTTAATGGTATCAATTCTATTGCTGATGTTGTTTCAAACCTCCCTACATACTTTTCACTTACAATATATAAATAACTATGTTTTTTATCTATTTTTTTTCACAGCAGCTTAATTTGAAAGGAGATAGCAGTATTGTTTTACCAATTGTTGTAAACAGGGATTTACTATCGTAACTAGATCAGTCAACTTAATCGTGTAATTGTCAATCTACATGTACATGTATGACTGATGCTGGCAATAAGAGAAACATAATTCAGTTTTCTCAAAAAGTCATTTCAAACAACAAATTTGAATAAAAGGAGATAAACAGTAAAAATCTATGAGACCACAACCCAACTACAAAGTTTTAAATCGAACCAAGTCTTCAAAAGTTGTGAAAAATTTAACAAGAATATGAAAATTCTGCCTTCAGCACCAAATTCTCCATATGGAAAAAAAATCCTAATAAGATATGACAAAGACAACCACTGTCTCGTTTCCTGACTTGGGACAGGCACAGGAACTAGTTTTTGAGATCATGTTACCTTCTCATTTAAATATCAATCAGTGAACAAACAATAGTAAGTATAGGAAAAGGCTAATATAACAAGTGAAACTGCGATCTACTGCTCACTGATGATACCACCAGTCCAAATATTTGACGATAAACAGGAAGTTGTTGAGTGATGAATCTGAAAATGCATCACACTGTATAGCTGACTTATATAAATACTGAAACCAAATTTCAGAAATCCTTGTAATGTAGTTCCTGAGAAAAATGTGACGAAAATTTTCAATTTGGATGTGTTGTGTAAAATGATTTAAGTGTTCGGTAAACAGGAAGTTGTTGAGTGATCAATCTGAAAACGCATCACACGGTATAGCTGACTTATATAAACCCTGAAACCAAATTTCAGAAATCCTTGTATTGTAGTTCCTGAGAAAAATGCGACGAAAAATTTTCATGGGACGGATGGACGGACGGACAGACAGAGGTAAAACAGAGGTAAAATAATAATGGTATAACTGATAACAAAAACAATTATAAACAATATGTATCATCATAACTAAAGACAAGCTCAAAGCATCACCGCGCTGATGTAAAATCATTCCATCCTACAGTCTAATATTATTGACAGACTTTAGAATACATTTTCTTTTATAGCTCCTAAATATTAACACCATTTCAAACTAATAAATTTCTTTTATTTCATAAGATATCAAAGGCATGACTAACCACTTTCTTCTATTATATTTATAGGTTTCATAAGGAGTGAGAATTGGATATCCCTTGACATCAATTAGAGTTATTCAATTTGAATAGTGATAATAAACTCGCCTTATTAACAAGAGTTGATATCAAGCAATATCAAATTCTCATGAATTTATAACCTATTTCTCTTATGGTAAACATTCCCTTTGTGGAAAAGGTGAAAAGTTAGAGTGTTTTGTATATTATTGAAGTTATCACAGATATCCGTGCCATGATGGAAATTTACATAGTTTTGAACTTTGAAAGTCATTAATGACCTAACAATAGCCAATGGGAATTTCACAATATAGCTTCATGATGCTATTACATTGTGTATTTAAGCCAATCAAATTAATGCATTTTTCATATCACTTATTCGTATCACACTCCATGCAGTGTGATGCGAGAAATATTTCATCATGCGAGAAATAGATAACAGGCTACAACCATAAGAGAAATATATGTATATCCAATTTAATGATTCTAGCTGCTGAAGTTAAATATACATGTTTAGCATTACTGCAGATATTGTTTAACTCTGACTATTGAATTGATTTGTTAGATAATGGTTATACCTTTGTTGACCACTTTTTCTCCTATCAATTATTGTAAAAATTTTAATCATTTAATTTCTATGATCTTCAATTTTGTTAATGAAGATATTATGCACAACAGAAATACAAACCCAAGTAAAAACAAGATCATATTCCAGGTGTTTCAATTATGAATTATTTTAAGTATTTCTAGTGAAATCGATTATTTTTTTCTGGGCTTCAAATTTAATTGAACAGACTTTTTTGTCCTTTGAATGATCACTATACTAAGATGTAAAACATTAGGACTATCAAATTACATGTCCAAGCTTTTCTTTTATTTTACCATATCTGAAACCTCTAATTTTAGCTCTAAATAACCTTGAAAATATAAGGAATTGGTTATTCTTATTACTGTAAGCGAGAATTGTATCATATGCAAATTTGATATAACCTCAAACTGATCTGTGCTTTACAAGCTTGTCTTCACTTAAACTAAAGGACAGGTATTTGTTTTACCATGAAATAATGTACTATGTCTAATGATTGACTGTTTAATATCCAGTAATTATTTAGAAAGACTGTGACTTGTGTAGAATGAATGCAATATTCCAGCTTCCTGAAATCCTTTTCTTTGTGACCCAATTATGATGACATTTCGTGATCTGATATTGATTACCATCCCATCTATGATTAACATTTTAATATTTGTAACACAATTTGACAATAGACACATCTCAAACTCTACATGTATGTTTATATTTTCTATTTTATCAATTCACATTAGTTCAGTGCCAAACTAGTAATTCTTAATCAGTCTATTCTGCTATCTACTAGTTAGGCAGTCAACACTAAAGTAACAACACTTTGGTCAATTCCTCCATCTAAACAGAAGGTTCAGTTGTGCAATACTAGTTCAGAAGAAGATTTTCTATGCAACTAAAAGATATATTTCTGATGAGATTGCCTATACATTTACTCACCTACAAACCATTATACTGAGACAGTGATAACCAAAGAGCACCAATCAAACACCCTTAAAGAGCCTTCGTGTTATGTATGATTTGAACAGCATAATAGGTTCTCAACAAAAACACTTTTCTTAATATTTCAAGAAAATCCACTTGAAAATAAAGTCTTTGAAGGGTGGGGGATTGACTGAAAGGATGTTGGTCATGAAATTTGAAGAATGGGGTTCTTTTTTAGTTTAATTTTGAAGTCAAACACAATAATTATCACATCATCGGTACAATTTTTTTGGAATATTTAAAGAAAATAACCGTTCAAGCAGGTAAATGATTTCCACTTACATAGTGTATTTATATATATACATTGTATATATATTAATAAACGGCCACTATGGGAACATAAAACTGTCAAGTTCCTGTTTTTTTTTAAAGACTTTTCAAGTTCAACAACTATTGATCAATGATTAAGGAAATAAACAAAGGGAGATAGTTTTTATTCTTGAATGACAACTTGAAAATCATATAATCTAAATAGATCGACCAATGAATAATGAAATAATAGTATGTCTGAGCAGAGCCTGCTTAATGTTATTGAACTTACTGGTGATTTTGATGGCTTTGAAGTGAAAACAAACAAGCGGGTTCCTGAAAATGCCTGAAATGATAAGAAAATGGTTTTTTTTTATTATTGCTGAAAATAGCTATAACTTTTATATCTATATATATACACTATATTCTGCATTGGGAGAACATATTCTCTATAACCAGTGTTTACGCCAATTCAGCAAGCACATTTGTCCTCATTTTCATTTTTAATAATTCATTTCTTATCTCTTTTTACTCATTTCTGTAGTAAGTCTGTATGAAATTAAATGCACATTATTTTCTTTTACATTCATAAATATATAAATGATATATATATGTGGCCTACTAAAATATGACATACATGTAGGGGTTTCAAAATGTGGTGATATCAGGTTTAAATGTACATGTCTAATTTAAATTTTGGTATCACCTAACATTACAAGATTCTATGGTAGTACTTTAGACATTTAGTTTTATATTACTGAATAGTACATCCTGAATAAGCTTTGTGACCTTACACATCAGTGTGGAATGACTATACCAAGACAAGTACATGAAGATGTAAATAACTTACTAAAACTCTGTTTTCCCATTTGTCTGGTCGTACTTCTTGTTTTACCATACGCTTTATATACAACTTAATCCTGCGACCAAGATACTCTCTGATGGCATCTAAAGTAAACAAGAGCACATGAGTATACTATCATTTCTGAGAGTTAAATATGATTTAGTATCTGACACTTCAAGTCAGTATCAGGTACATGCATCTCTATGGAAACTATATTTAGATTCCTAATATTTACTAATTACAAACTATCATTTCCTCTTCCTGCCTGGATATTTTAAACGAGAAAAAAAATGTACATGTATAGAAAATAGAGAATGGAAACCAGGATTGTGTCAAAGAGACGACAACCAGACCAGAGAGCAGAAAACAGCCCAAGGCCAACAATGGGTCTTCAATGTAGCTAGAAAATCCCAACCTGGACTTGTGTCCTGGAGGCAGGCTTCAGCTGGCCCCTAAACAATACTGTATACTAGTTCAGCGAAATGAATGCCCCACTTAACTCAAAACATACATAAAAAACACACACAAGTCTAACAAAGGTTAGAGGTTCCTGACTTGGGACAGGCGTAAAATGCAGTAGGGTATGTATTCTATGAAAGATTGGATATGTAGTGTGTCTGGTTTCTTTTTACTTTAAAAGAGTCAGATTAGCACTCAGATATTAACAAATTGTTAAACAGCCATAAATAATATATGAAAATATATCTGTACATGTATAAACAAAGTTTATGAAAGAGACTGAGAGTATAGGTTGAGAAATGGAAAGCAAACTATTGTTTTGTCATTTGCCCTCATCTATATTGTACATGTATATTGATACATTTGTACACATTTTTTTTCCCCTATAAAATAAATCTCTAAATTTTATGTGAATTAAATATAAAACTTCTGAAAAGCAATTCAATTATTTAACTACTAAAGCATTTGGTAAATTAAGTTTTACATTTGATCAACAGCAAAGATATTACCTGCCTTCATGGCCACATGAAAATAAATAGGAGGTAAGCTGTTCCTTTCAAATTCATCCATAATGTATACAAATCGACATTAGCAAATCACATGTTTATAACATATAACAGAAATTAAGCATAACTAATAGAGAGTTTTTTAAACAATAGATACAATTGACAATTTATAATATTAACAAAAAAAAAACACTTCCCCAAAATGCAGGAAATTAAACACCTTTATGTACATAATATACATATTACAGATCAAAAATTTTAAATATTAATTGATCTTTCAAAAACTGATGTCAAGTGGACACTTAGACCTTTTATTCCGCTATAGTTTTTTCTGTAATTTAATTTAGATGTACAGGTGTCATGTGACTAACTTCAATTTGACGTAACTGTGAGCCAGAACTTTTTGCGTGCCCTATGCATCTAACATTAAACTTTATAAATAGTAAGTACTGTTGCAACTAGTTATAATTGTCTCCATCATATATAAGTACCGGTACTACAAATAGCAAATGGGAAAAATCCAATTTTAAACAAAATGAAATATATACATGTATGTCCTCTCTGTCTAAATTTCCTTAAGACACCATCTGTGAAAAGTCATTGCACTTTTCATATAAATGCAACATTTGTATACAAATGGTTAGAGCATAAACAACTTTTCATTTTTTTTACAACTGGACATTGGGCAGACAACAACAATCAATTGCAATAATGATCAAATGAATATAATTTCTCTTGGTAAGTGGTTGTCACCTTCGAAAAGTAAAAATTAAACGTACAATTGCTTACATCCACTTCATTTGAACTTTTGTGGATACATTGTAGTTGTCTCATTGGCAATCATACCACATCTCCTTATTTTTATATTTGTTAAAGCACCATCATAATTTAAGTTATTAACAATTCAATTAGAAAGGGAAGTGCTTGGTTAGAATTAAATAAGATCAAATGCATTTATAAAACAGTTACATTTCGAGATGGTCTTTTAAGGTGTAATACCACCAAATCATAGTACGTCACATCCGGTTGCATACGAAAATAGGTCGAAAAAAAATATTCCCTTGAATTTGACAGTTGTAGGTAATTGATCCTACATTTCATTGCAGTAAAACATTTCTGGGTCATAAACATATATCTTGGGTATTTCACAGCACCATTATTTTTTTATTTGGGGTTTCTATAGAATATTTTGGAAACTTGAGGTTACATGGTTACTAAAGCTTGTACACAGGTTAAAAAAGGGGGAAAATTTGATTGGTTAACTTCCAGTGATGGTTATTTTCTTATATGCAATGAAATGTTATGTGAAATTTTTTCTATAGTACTGGACAGGATCAAACTTTACTCATGCCAAGTATTTCTTTATTTGAAACAAAGATAAATTCTGCACAATTTTTTGAAAAGTGCAAATTTAGCAAAGACTAATAGGGGAAAATCAATGGTGGTATTACACCTTAAGGACATACAGAAGCTGATTGTTAATTAGGTTTTAAGGTTTATTAGGTTTTTTTCCTCAATTCTTTTACATTGAGTTTTTACGTATATTTAGGCAAGCTTCAAATTTGTTCATCATCAACAATTCACTGCTAAAAGTACCAATCTGAATCAAAACTTGGCATAAAATTGACCTTAGGGTAAGTAGGAAAACCCTAAACACTTTTTTTTCAATTTTTTTAGTCTTATCATTTTACTATCAATCTGCTGTCACTTGTACTACTATCCCATTACAACCTTTCAAGTATGACAAATAAAATTTATAGCAAAAGAAGGGATATTCCTCTTGCCTTTTTATGTTGTTGTTGTCATTTTTGGGGGGGTTCTTTATATTGATCTCCATACAGACAGTTGAAGTTTTATCAACAAAAATGTCACATCCACAATTTTGAAAAGTTGATCTAAAAAACGTATTGTAATAAATTGCTTATTATTCTTTCAGGGAGGCCTAAACTTAGCTTACTTTTTTCAGATAAAAATACTTGAAATCAATTCCTCAATACCAAGTTATTAAAAACATGTGACATAATCAGCTCTGTCACTTTGAGTCAGCATAACTGATACTAGATTTTTATACAAATACATGTTAATTATTTTTTTATATTCAAACATGTACATGCTTCCTTTTATACCATGTATACACAAAATATTTCTTTTTACAGTTTTTTTTTTACTTGCCAAATACATGGTTAATGTTAGTATTTTGTTGAAATGATGCCTATGTAAATTATGAGCAAAGGAGAATGTACGAAAAGACCACTTTTTTGGCCTTGAAAATTTAAACAATCAAATTCTATCAAAACTCTGCCAAATACATTTATCATATTTCAGATTTTCATAAAACATTAGAATGTTCAATCATTAGAATCAATATTTTTGAATTTGGTCTTACATTTTGGCACTTTGTTTAAAACTGAAAAACACTGCCAAAGTAGCCTCATTTTGAGATATTGTCATTGATATTTAGATATGAACAAAGGCAATGAAAGGCTTTGCCCAAAAAGATATTTTGTTACAAAATGTATTTGATAAAGATGCAAATGTTTGTAAAATATCTTTTTAGGTAAGACCTTTGCCAATACAATGGATCTATTTTGACAAAACTATGTTTAAAATGGTCATTTGTAATAAAATATGTTAATACCAATAAGTTTATGAAATCATTTATACAACATCACAAGTGACCTTAATAAACCTAGGATCAAAATGTTTAATGAAATTTCTAATATTGTTCCCTGTTTTAATTCAATGAGTAATGAAAACAAATTTGATTTTATATTTTCTTGCAAAGAATGTGATATATTAATAATCGTTGTTAACAGAATAAGTGAAATGTATAGTAAGAGAAACAACTATAATGTCATTACATGAATTGTGTATGATTCATGACTAATATTATAACACATATAATCAAGATATTTGAAATGATTACTTTATAGAGAAGGCATGTTGTCAAAAAAAGTATTGAAATAAATATTAACATTTTTTTCAATGCTACATATTTGTATTGTTTTTGTCTATCGTTTTGTTATTTATATGTTTTTCTTTAGTAGCAATCCTGTTGTTTGGATTTTAAACTAATAAAATTCTTATTCTTAATCAAGTGACCTTTCTGCGTTAAAGTGTCAAGATAATATCAGCTTGTACATTTAAAAATAATAGCAAAAAAATTTGAAAAGCTTTAACCCCATCAAATACTATTGAATTGTATCATATTTTTCACATTGGAGCCTTTTTCACCTTAGAGCCTTTTATAGCCTACTATATCGTATGGGGTTTTCTCATTGTTGAAGGCCATATGGTTGCCTATAATTGCTTACATCAACTTCTTTGAACTTTGGTGGATAGTTGTCTCATTGGCAATCATACCACATCTCCTTATTTTTATATACAATTTAATTGTACATGTATGTACCTATCCCAAGTCTGGAGACTGTAATTCAGTGGTTGTCATTTTTTGCTGTATATCATATTTTTTTTGTACATGTATGCATGTAAATCAGTTAGTTTTCTTGTTTGAATGGTTTCACATTTGCCATATCAGTTAGTTTTCTTGGTTAGAATTGTTTACATTTGCTATGTCAGGGCCTTTTACAGCTTGCTATGCGGTATAGGTTTTGCTCATTTTTGAAGACTGCATGGTGAACTGTCATTGCTTATTTCTATCCCATTAGGTCTCTATTGGAGAGTTGTCTCATTGCCAGTCATACTACATCTTCTTATTTTTATATTGAATAGTTTTACTACTTTTTGCATGTGCAGCGGCCAAATAATGGCTCTAATCATACATGTACCCCCTCCTTTACATGTTAATACATACGTGTACATCATGTATGAAAACTGACAACTAGTCAAAATAAACAGGATTCCTAAATTCATATTTCATTCTAATGATCATGAAGTAGGAATGATAGGAGACAAAAAAAAATAAGAGTATATGAAAGATGAATTAAATCCATCTTAGCTGATTTTTTAAATCATCTTAAGACTCTTTGCCAATTCAAACAGAAGCGGCAGCCATTTGAGATGACCATGTAACATGTGGTATACTACAAGTAGAATATGGCATGTCACTGTGATCATGTGCCACTACCATTCACAGCGCTCATGATAAAGACAAATCTGAGTATCTTCAAAAGAGGCCTAAACAAGAAATCCCTATGAACAACTGTGAAAGTTGCTTGCTTTTGTTTTCACAATGGCGAAATGAATTGCACTCTTTTGCATACCCTCAAGTCCAGAAGTTTCATTTGTCCACTTATTTTGTCAACATATCTACAAATGAACAGACTTACTGGATGAAATAAATAGGACTCTTCACGGTTAGTTCTGCCATATTCGATAGGGGGCAGATTTTCATAATGGAGGTAAAAATGGTGTGAAAAATTCGGGAAAACCACATTAAAACAGAGCAGTTGCTTGGAAACATGCATAGGATTTCCCATACTTTCATACTATTTCCACCTCTTTCAAAAAAATCTGCCCCCTATCCAATATGGCCGAACTAACCGTGAAGAGCCCTATTATCGCCAATATCGGCCAGCATCATATAGAAAAGAAAAAGAAAACTCATTCACCTAAGTATGCACACATTTAGACAGTAAAACATACATGTTACTATCAGGTAAATTAAATCTGTACCCCAAAAAAGCATTTTCATTTCTTCAAATTACCCCCGAAAATTGGATAACATAGAAAAGGGGGAGGGTGTCAACGTATATTTGTTCCGCCTAACAGAAGTTCCACTGGAAACTTTGTTATAAACAATGTCATAATATCTGTTCCTGTTGGAACAAATATTCTATACCATTTATTCCACTAGGAACATTTACTGTAATATTTATTCCAGTGGAAATAATATTCCAGAATGTTTTTTCCATTTGGAACTTATATTATGAAGGAACTTCTATTCCGTGACAAAGGGGTCATTAATTAATGACACTCAAATTCATAAACTTGCATCAAACTTTTCATAACATAATTGAATCAGAATCAGTTCGGAGTTGTGGTACTAGTAACAAATTAAAAGAAATTGTATTGGATACCACCAGGGCATTAATACTCTGAGCAAAGGGGAACCCGAAATTTCCCAACAGATACAAATAAATTTTACACAGTTACACGTATCAGTGTATGGCAAAGTGTCACAATCCGTTGAGCCTTAAAGTGCAAGTTTTCATTTATTTAAATATGTAATTAATACAGATAGTACAAAATAATGCCAAACGAGAACATATTAACTTTGAAGTACTTGACGATCAATTTTTCAATTGACTCTTCGCGACAAATTGGGTTTGCCAAATTTTTAGCAGGAAGTGGGGGTTTTGACCTCACCTTGTAAATCTTTTGGTACATTGTTGACTGCCGCCATTTTGTAAATGACCTAACAATTTTGCAGTTTTATATGGCTGATCATTCGCTAATGACATGTAACTACTCTGTAACACTTTAAACTGCTGAGGATGTAAACACGGAAGTGGCTATGAGACCGCCATGTTTTGAGTGGATGTGACGTATATTGTGCTATAAATAGTAACAAAACAAACCAAACACGTGTTATTGCTATTGGAGTATTTTTGTAAACAAGTACGACAAAAATCAAAGAATTGCCCATTTTTGAAAATATTCACAAACAACACCTTTTACATTGTCAATGAAATATGAAAAATAAAACCACATCTTAATATTGTTACCTATGCACTCACTACTATTAATTAAGAGTTTCATTTTTTTTATTTCAGCTTGTCTGTGTTGAATTAGTGTTTTAAGATAATGATTCTGTAAATGTAGTTAGTAAGTCTTGCTTTATAAACCCTTGGCGTTACCTGTGAATGGGGATAACTAACTAAATATTATGCTCCAGATTTGTCACTTAAAAATGTAAAAACGAATAACAACACCTAGAAGTCATTAATGATTTTGGTCATGCTTGACTATACCAAATCCTTGTTTGACTCAATGATTTTTGTTGAAACATCCTTACTTGGCCTTAATTTATAAATTATGTCTTGCTGATACTGTTTGATGTTTAACATTTCTATATATCTACTTAAATTTTCAAGAAAAACCTCCGAAATATAAAAAAAATGTATGAAGTGAGTCGATAGGCCGGCACTAACTCCTTTGAGGGATCAACTGACATTTCAGGCATGTAGACCTTGTCTTTCTGGTAATCATTGCATATATTGTCTCTTATAATTTTAAGCTGATAGAAAAATACAAAAAAATGTATAATAATTCCAAAAAAAACAGTTTATTAAAGGTTTCTATCAATTAACATTTTAGTAGATCTTGTCACATGGTTGCTGCGGATCATTATTGCAGTTATTGTCTATCTATTATGGTTATTAAGATATGAGATGAAAATGCCAAAATCGGTACCAAAAATTGTCATTTAAAGGTGATCACTCAAGAAATTAACTAAACACTTTGGTCATGTAGGCCTACACGTATTTGTCAATCATGTAGTTCTTGAACATGTTTACTGTTTACATTTTCTTCTTTTCTATTACAGTTTCCAATCATCAAAATATTAAAAAAAAAAGACAAATATTGTCATTTAAGGACAGTAACTCTTATGACATCTTCGCTTGCCAAGGGTTAAGATCCGGCCCCCTTCTCGTAAACCTTGGCTTTAGAATATGCTCTTATTATAGGTCGATTGTGATTTCGATCATAACATTTTTTTGTGGATTCTATACATGAAAACGGCTAATCATAATTTGTCTATTTATTTGATTCAAGATAAATGAGAGAGAAAAATGGATAAAAATCGTCATTTAGGGCAACAATTAATAAAAAGTCACTAGACGATTTTAATCATTTGACTTGTTGGTAGATCGTGGTTTTGCTCATTTACTATAGTTTTCAATATATTCGGTAAAAGCACTAAAATTCCATTTGTAAAAAATGCCATTTACGGGAAACGATTCCGACGATTTTCATAACGTAGGTCTTGTAGTACCTATCTATCTGCCTTTCATCGTTTCGTGATATTTGCTTAAACACTTTATTTGGTTCATGATCGTCATTTAAGGGCAATAACTCGGATATTTATAGATTTTTACATGACATTTTCCATATTGGCCCTGTTATCAGCCCAAGACTCCCATATCAAGCCAGAGGGCTCATATGGGTATTGCTGCTCATTCGTGATAAATACAACTTATCTCTATCTGTAATAATTCCTAAGATAATAGATAATAATGATAAAATTGTAAAAAAAAAATATCACTTATTGACAATATAGTTCTAATAATAGACAGATTTCTTGAAAAGTTTCTGCCCAAATCATTTGAAAGATAAAAAAGAGTGATTTTTTTTCGATTAAAGGTTACTGAAAATATGTTATGGACTCGCGGAGAAATTTTCATACAGACGTGTTAGTTCAAATTTAATGCCAATGTATTTTCAAGAACTCTACTCCTTTATGCAGTTGTCTTGTAAGTTTGGTCCCAATAAATGGTAGGCAGATCTCGACTTTCTAGGCATTTTGGCACATGTCATAATTTCTCTTTCTTTAACGGTTACAAGATATTACACGAATACTTGTATTTTACTATATAGTTCTATTTTTTACCATATGCAAGATTTTTTGAAAAGTTTTAAAACAACGATAGACGACAAATATGCTTAGTTATGACAATAGCTGACATAAGCCTAAAGTGAGCTAACGAAAGGAGAGGAGAATGCGTCAATGAGACAAGCAACCAAAATAAAAACAAAAAGAAAAAGAAAACAGCTAAGTCTGTCTTAAAATCACCCGGAATCTAGTGATATCATGAAGAAATTGAAAGGAGGCTTCAAGAAGTCTGTCAACACAATGTCGAGAAAAGACAGCTCAAATGGCTACTTTTCGAATTTAATTAGTTATATTAGATATTTATGGTGGCCACTTGTGGCCATTTCCCGATTTTGCATTTTCGTTGATAAATTTTGCATAAAATGCGAATCAATAGTGGGAGCGCGAAATGGTTTTTTTTCGGAAATCGTGTCGCATTTTCATCTTTGTGTTTTCTCTATTTCGCTTTTTGTGTTTTCTCGTTTGCGTTTTCGCCTGTTTGACTTTTCGCCTTAATGGTTCAATTACTTGATATATGCATGTAGATGTAAAATAAATAGTAAAACAATCTTAATTGCTACCATGCACATGGAAAAAACAAAAATGTGAAAATATCAAACAAAGTTTCAAGCTGAAATCTTTACAGAAATGTGTTTGTTCTGCATGTTTGCAGTTAGTGTCTAAAAAATCAAGATAGCAGCTGTTACCAAAAAGAAACTGGGAAATCGGGGTGACATCCGCTCTTGCTTGCATTTTCAATTCTAGTTGTTCTTGCGGGCCAAATGCTATTAATGTCACTGGCCGTAAATCCTGAGTCCGTGTCCTGTCATATCATTGAAAACGTTGATTCTGCGAAATGTCTAGGGGTTAAAATGTTTTCTCGGGGTAACAATCTGCTCTATCACCCTCTCAGCTATGTGTTATTTATATATTGATACATTGCGAAGAAAGCTAACTTCTCATGAGTTTTTCTGCAAAGAAACATAAAAAACTGTCCTAGTCAAAGTAAAGCTTTTTGCTATTGGCGCTCATTACAGTAGTCCACTCATTCTGCAACTAAGGTCAAAATAAAAAAAAAATGAAGTAATACAACGCCGATGTGCTTGCTTCGTTTTCAATTATAAAAGAAGAACCAGTAACATCAATGCAACAGACCTAGTCGGACCGACATAACTGTCAAGAAGAACACAATGTAATGTGATCGTGATTTAATAGAGTCGTAGATTAGTTTGTCTTATAAAATTGTCAAAATCTTTCAAATTTGTAGTTTGAGTTATCGTAAAGCATGATTATTTTGCCATCCAAAAGAATTGCTGTGTGTATTTATGAGTGTACCATATGTTAAGAAGTAAGCCATGATATTGCTAGACTCTCAAAATAAAAACGTGATACTATTTTATTGTGAATTTTTGTAAAGTTATAAAGACTTTTAAAAATGTCCCTTCTGTCAAACTAATTAAAGGGAAGTTATCCCTACCTCCTTGTGAAAATCCATCACAGTTTTAGCTTTGTTTAAGAATTTACAAATCCAATAAGTGTTCAAAACTATGTCAAAATCTTGGAACCTCAAAATACACACAAAACTCTATGATGATTTGAATTTTATTCAAAAATCCATGGACTTTGTGAAAAAGTGAGAATGACCCTGCTGTTTGATAATTGATAAAAAAAATACCAATTAGAATTAGAATAGAAAAATAAAAAAATATATATACGCAAGAAGAACGAATATGTTAGTAGTAATACATAAAGATGAACGACCAACAAGTTAAACACGCCAAGTTCCCATCATGTATTGGATTCATTAATTATTCAAGAATCTAAGCATAATTTATATTTGCATTTCGGTATTGCCATAGCACTTATATTTCTGTCCTTCCGACTAGTAAGTGTTCTTTCATCCTTTAAGGATGTCATTATCGAATTTGTGACAAAAATTATGTTAATAGCGGTATTAATTATTTCTTGAGTGTTCAAATTCTTTGGAAGTCTTGGATATATAAGTAAGATTCTTTTGAGGGTCTCTTTATCTCCGTTGACACATGCAATATTTCTAATTTAGCACTACTGAATCTTATCAAACAAACATTTTCCGATTGATAAAATGGTCTTTCGATAAATTTTTGTGTTAATACGTCCATTGCAGTCATCAAGATTCTCAAAGTAGCAATAAAACGTTTTAAAAAATACTTTAATTAGACAGTGCAAAACTAAGCCAAGCCCTTTCGAAAATGATGTACACACTTTACTAATGTAATCTCATGGCCATTTATCCCATAAATCTCAATATAATAAATAATATAATGAACAAATATATATTTGCCGACTGCCCAACCTAAACTAGAGGACACTGGATTTATTACGAATAAAGAAACAAAACATGATAGCATGTGTAATATAACAGCATGTGTAATATAACAGCATGTGTAATATAAACATAAAAAATAAATTACTGTGGTGTAAGTTATAATAAATTATCAAAAATTCTCCTTCTTTAACGATCCCGCCGGCCAGGAAAAACCAACAAATGTCGGAAACCTGTGTCCAAACCCTATGCTCGAAAGACCGTCTCTGGAGTCATACTTGGACAGTATACTTTAAGATGTGATATATGAAAAACAAAATCTTATAAAAGGGAAACATGAAATTAATTAACCCTGTATTATGTGCATCAGTACAATCAGCAAAAAATGTATAGTATAGTTCATACATGAGCAAATATATGTACAAATGTAACAGCCACTATGTTCCGTCAGTTACTTTGTTCCGGCGGAACTTTTCAATTAGTTATTTCGTTCCGATGGAACTTTCCAACTAGTTGTTTTATTCCGAGTGCAGTCGAAAAGTTCCGGAAAAAAGTAGCTAGTTGAAAAGTCCCGGAACAATGTAGCTAGTTGAATAGTTCTGGCGGAACAGAACAACTAGTTACATCGTTC